GGAGGAGGGGAAGGGGACTCGGCGAGGAGGGGGAGGAGGAGGGCTCCTTCTTGCTTCCCCCCATCTCTCCTCATATTCCATCCTACTCCTCCTGCCCCTCCTCGCCCCGCAGCCTCCCTTGTTCATCCGTCGAAGACAGCGACGGCGATGGCAAGGGCGGAGGGGTCGCCATGGTGGCCACATTCAGCACATCTGCGCAGTCCAGGTCGGTGCAAGGTGCAACCCTCGTGCCCGTCGATGAGCAGCAGGTTGCCTGGCGGGAGGGGGGTGCCCATGTGTTTTGTCACGTCAGTCACTTCCCCCCTCCCCCATCCCCATCTCGCCGAAGCCGCCGGAGGCCCGAGGCGCTTGGGTTTCGGCGCAGTGGCGACGCCGCGGCGTGGCATGGCGCAAGGCCCCTTCTCTGGAGACGATTGGTGGCTTGCCCCGACTGTCTTCTCGTACTGTGAACGGGAGCTTGCCGAGATTAGGCGACTTCGCCTAATCTCAATCTCGAAACCAGAAGGACGCCGACGCTGTCAGGAGGCGAAACCAGATCCGATCTTGGTCCGTTCTTCTGCCGTGGCGAAGACGCGACAGGTGGCTCCGATCTTGGTCCTCGACAGTGGCGACGAGGCGGAACCAGACGACGGGGCCCAAGGCAAAACCGACGACAGGACAACATGTGAGAGGATCGACTTGTGGACTATGCCCGATGATCCGCCCGCGCCCGCGCCCAGCCTGACCCCCTTGAAGCAGAAGCGTCCACGCAGGCACAAAAAGCACGCTTGTGGCGTGTGGCTCCCGAAGATTAAGAAATCACGACTCATTTAAAGTATGTGCAGCGCGTAGATAGATAGCTCGTGCATGAATCATTTCGGTGACCTGCGGAGCCTTGCGCTCCCCCACGCCCCGCCCGCCCTCTTTCCAAGGACATGGGCCCTCCCCCCCCTTTCCTCGACCATATGGCGCAGGTGCTTTTTGGGTGCCCGTTCGGAGCATCAGAAGTAGGGGTAACGGCTTCTGGTGCCACTCTGCCGCGATGGCCTACGCTGATTATATTTTGGAGAAGCAGGGGCTCGATGCGGGCGCGGAGGAGGGAGAGGGGGGCTTGGAGGATAAGGGGGGACAGGGGGGAGGGAGGAGGGGGGGGGGGGATGCGAAACCGGAGGCAGACATCTAACCAGAGGGTGGATGCGAAACCAGAGGGTGGATCTAACCGGAGGGTGGAGTCGATGCTACGTGCATTCTACTCTCTGTGCACTTAGTGCCTCGATGCTACGTGCGCTTTGTGCACCTTGTGTCTCCTCGTATCTAGGGGGCTAAGTGCCGCCTGTGGCTGCTCTGTAGCGCCGCCCCAGCGAGCGGGGGGCAGGGTTTTTTTTTTCGTTGTGCATCGGGTGGCTTCCGTGGTGGGAGTAAGATCACGGCGCTGGCAGCGCGGGCCCCGTCCGAGTTTCGAGGCGTTCTTTTCAGCCAGAGTGTTTCAGCCCTGCGGAGCCCCCGGAGCTTTCGCGCTGGATCCAGGCGGGCCCTTGGCGGGCGCTCGGGACTTGAGCGGGCGGCCCTCAGCTCTTCCGCGCCCCAGGGCGGCCTGCCTCGGGCCCCGACCCCCCCCCCGCCCTCCTTGGCTGGGGTATTCGCCGTCCAGCGATCGGCTGGCAAGGCCCGTTACGTCCTCTTCTCGTTAACGGCCATGACCCTCTTTGGGGCGAGGATCTGCCGGAGGAGGGTCTCGAGGTGATGATCTGATTGGAAAATGCATGTGCGTGGCCCCCTTCGCCCGCCCCCCCCCTTCCCTCTTCCCTTTCCCCCCCCCATCTCTTCCGCCCCGCCTCTCCACGCCCTTTCCCCCTGCTTTCCTTTGCCGTCTTCACCTCCTGGCCCCCCCCCCACTGAAGCGCCCCTCTCCTTCCTCTCCTCAAGCGCCCCAGCTCTCCTGACGTCCATCTCCTGCTCCTGCTGCTCGCTACCTTGCCCTCCTCGAACGCCGCGCCCGAAAACAAGCGCCCCTGGCCCCGCCCCACCCTCCCCACCCAACTGGGGGACGTGACGCTTTCTTGGAAGCATGTCGGAACCGCCCCCAGCCTTCCCCCCCCTTCCCACCTCCCCTCACAAGGCCCCATCCCCGACTCCTTCTCCCCTCAACGACGCCGGAGGGCATGCAGCCAGGAGGTTCGCAGGTGCTGCGCGAGCTTGCCCGCGCGCCGCCAGCCCGACCGAGGCGCCGACCCCGCCCCGCCCGGGAGGGCGCCTACTGCGCTTGGCTGCCGTCGTGGCCGTCATAGGCATCGTATCATTTGATAACCACCATCATCGGTTATTCTATGATGTTTCCAAACGTGTATTTCAGCAGTGCTATCTGTCTTATCATCATCGATCATGGTGATAGGCATCATGTATGGTTTAGATCAGCTTCTATCACGCACATCCTCGCATCCTCATCCTCGCATCATCCTCATCCCTCCACATCCCACCATCCGCCTCCTCCTTGCTGCACTGCCCCCCCCCCCCCTCCTGCCCCTCATCCTTTTCATTCGGTCATCTTCTTCTATGCGTCTGAGCGGCGAAACGTTCCCCTCCCGTCCGTCACTTGTTTGCGTGGATCTTGGTTTGGGGGTGCGTGGTTTGGCCAGTATCACGTTGGGGCCCTCTTGGAGAACTTGGAGCCCTCTTGGGGCGCTCTTGAAGCCCTCTTGGGGCCCTCTGGGAGCCCTCTGGGGGCCCTCTGGGGGGGGCCTCGTGTAGCCTTCTGGGGCCTACGAGAAAAATGAGTTGTCAGGACTTCGCAGTTTTCGGCCCCTCGGGGCCCTCTGCCTGCCACCTGCCCCTCCTCTTCTGTTTCCTCCGCGTAGCCCCATAGCCAGTTTGGCTGGAGGCCGCCGGGGGCCCTGGAGGCCCGAGTTGCCGCGCGACCCCGCACATCATCCTGCGACTGTGATGTCGCTTCGCTTTGTCCAGGAGGGGATGGCCCCGAACTTCGATTTGCTCGGCGACAAGGCTAACGCAAAGATCGGATGGTACATCTACCAGCTGAGCCGCCTCTGTCGCCGCATGCTGGGCGGCATCCGCATCTCGGAGCCCTTTCATGGCCTTGGGGGCAACAGGTCCTTCATGGCGGAGTGCAAGATCAAGTGCAGCCCCGCCAACGTCTGGGAGTCCGACAAGCGGTTCTCTGCGCATTACAGCAGCATAGGTTTGGAAGCGCGCGTCGGGGAGATGGGGGATGTCTTGAAACTGAAAGACCTTTCCATTCTCGAGGATAGCGAGGGCCTGGTGTGCGGTCCGCCCTGCATCCCTTGGGCCGGGACGGGCTTGCGCGAGGGGATCTTGAATCCTGCCGCTGCGTGCTACGACCAGGCGACGCTGTGGATTGTAGAATTGGCGTCACGGGGCAAGCTCTTGTTCTACGCTATAGAGAACAGCCCGAACATCCTCAACGCTGAGGACGGCGGCAGACGGGAGGCCTACGCGTACAGGGCGTTGGCGTTTCTGCAGGCGCACTTGCCGTATTTCGTTCACGATATCGACACCGTCCATCTCCACCCGACCTTGCCGCACAAACGGTCCAGGCTTTGGATCCGCGGCATTCGGAAGGACTGCACTCGTGATGGACGGGTTCCTGCGCCCCTCACCGACGACTTCCTTCCGAAGATTTCCCTGGAGGATGTGCTTCGCACCGACCTCCCCAACGTTTGCGAGGAGACCTACGGGACGCCGAAGCAGCGGACCAACTTGAAGCAGTTCGTCAAGACCATCAAGCAGGACGTCGAGATAGGGGTCGGGGGCAAGATCGCTGTGGTGGAGATCGATCGGCGCTTGGGCAAGAACGCGTTCGCGGCGAAGGTGGAGTACGACATGGTGCCCGCGCTCAGGACGTCCGTCAACTTCTTCGTCATCAGCGCTGACGACCTACACTTGCCCGCGAAGGACAGGAAGTGGTTCCGCCTGCTCCACCCGACTGAACGGCTCCGTCTGCAGGGCCATGCAGATGACGCTGACGCCATGCTCTCGGCCTCGGGCATTTTGTTCTCTCAGAAGGCAACGGGCAATGCTTACCCAGTAGCAATGGTGGCCAAGGCAGTCCTCCCACTCATGCACGAGATCTGCGTGTCTGGGGTCCAGCTTGGCGAGCACGCGCGCAGCCCAATGGAGCTCTACAGCATGGCTTACCCACCGCTGGAGGAGGATGACTTGTAGGCGCGCGGTGGTCGGCCAGGCGAGTTGAGTTGGGGGATTCATGCATGTCTAGGTTTGATGGGAGGGCGCTGTCTGAGGGAGGGATTTAGTAAAGCATTCGATTTAGGGCTTGGGAGGGGGGAATCACCACCCACCAAACCACCCCAACCCAACCCGAAGGCTCAGGCCTACCCTCGATTTCCAGCGGGGGGGGGTCGGGAAAAATTGAGAAAACACAGGTGGAACCCTTGCCCCCCCCAACCCGAAATTCGGGTCTTCGGGTTGGGTTGGGGTGGTCTGGTAGGTAGTCAGGAAAGGCAATCCGAAGGTTTCGTGAGCGCAGTGCTTTGTTTCATCGAGGCGACGACGTCGCCGCCCGCCGCCCTTCTCGGCATTTTGCTTGTGTCCTTGCCTGCAGCGAAAGGGGAGCGCGCAAGCCAGGATCCGAAGTGTCGTATTGCAGTGAGAACGCTGAGAACAGGGTCCTTCAGTTCAGCCACTTTGCCACCCTTTATCTTCCCTCACTGTCTGTCTGTATGTGTCCCTCCCTCCCCCCTCTCTCTCTCTCTCTCTCTCTCTCTCTCTCTCTCTCTCTCTCTCTCTCCCTCTCTCTCCCTCTTTCCCTCTCTCTCTCTCTCTCCCTCTCTCTCCCTCTCTCTCTCTCTCTCGCTCCCTCTCTCCTCCCGCCCTATCCCTACCGCCCCCCTGCAATTGTGCCCTCGACTTCGCTCCGCCCTCCGCCCACTAGGGTCGCTCCAACGCAATGTGTGACGTTGCCTTTCCACGTCTGCTTGTTTCAGCACTCTCGCTCTGCCAATCTCTCTGACGGAGGTGCCATTGCGATGGCTGCCCAGTCGACTGGCGCCGCGCCGAGCGGCAGCGGCGGTGCCGACAGTGCCGGAGGCGCGACCCCGAGTGCCCCCGGGGGGATCGCCTGACAGAGTTGCGCGGGGGGGGGCAGGAAGCGGCTCTTCATGTCTGCGTCGGGGGGTCCTTGCCAGCAGCGGTGTCTGACTCTGGAGGCGCATGACCTCGGGGCATCCCGTCTCCCCTCGCCCTCTTCGCCCGTTTCCCCGCTCGCTCTGGATCCGACGAGGCGCCCTTTGTGTTATCGTGGACTTGCGGGATGCGCGAATGCGTCGCTTCACCCCGCAGGCATTGGCAGCGTGGCTGGCCAGCTGATGTGCCAGAAGTGCGACGACCCCACCACCATGACGACGAGTCAACCTGCTGGGTCGCGCAACCCCCTGTTGCGCAACTGCACCGAGTGCAACGCGACTATTCAGTGGAAGAAGCGCATGTTCGCGGTCCCTCGGTGTCTAATGACCCCGCCCGTTTCTGGCTTGCCCGAGGCAATATCACCCGACCCCTTCGTTCCTCTATGTCGGCGCTTGGCGCCCCCCCATCCGCTGCCCCCTTTCTCGCTGGCTAGCCTCCGCCCCCAGGTCCTGAAGCCCGCGAAGGACGGGAAGGAGCACTGCAAGGAGAAGGTCAAGCAGGCAAAGCAGCTCAAGGACCTGCTGGACAAGATGACCAAGGATGCGGAAAAGGCTTGGTTTAAGGAAGAGAAAGCCAAGCGCCAGCTTGAGGGCAATAATTCCAAGCGCACGTTCTCGGACACGAAGGGATACGTCAACCACGAGAGCGCCCAGGATAATATTGAGGATGACCTCGTGCACTGGGAGCCGTTCGAGCAGTTCGCGATTCGCGTGATTGCCTTGGGGAGGTGCAAGAATGAGAAGGAAGCTGTTCCTCTGTGGAAAGAAGCATGCAAGGCCCCTGGTGCTAGGGTTGCTAAGAAGAAGGGCGTCCTGTGCCTGGCTCACTGGAAGGGGGTGGAGACGCGCGGGCGCGATCGGGAGACCTGTGCCACGGGGTACAAGTCCAGCCAGGCCATCGAGAACAGAGACGACCTCGAGACAACGAAGGTGCACATGGCTGAGCAGTCCGACAGGTTCAGCAAGATTCGGCGCATGAACGATATGCAGTTCGGAGTTCTAGAGAGCAGCATCGAGCCAGGCCCCTTGGCGGAGGCGGAGATCGACGTGGTCATGAGCGGAAGGCTGATGCCGGAGACTTCGGCGGGGTCCCAGCTGGTGTCCAGGGAGCTCGCGAAGAAGCAGCAGGCCGAGGAGTTGATGGAGCGCGACTTCCAGCTGCAGTGCGAGCAGGCCGCCGAGAATCAAGTTCAGCAGCAGCAGAGGCAGCAGGCGGCCCCGAAGCAGAAAGTGAAGGCCGTGGAGCAGCTCAACCTGAAGTCGCACACCAGCAAACTCCAGGCGGCTTTGGAGGATGTTTGCAGGAAGATGTCCGAGGGCACCGACACCGTGGAGAATTGGGCACTTACAGTGCAGAACAGCGACGACACGAAGCACTTGAATAATTTTAAAAAGGACTCGACGGAGAAGGTCAAGGAAGCAAGGGATGCCATCACGGCCATGCGCAAGAAGGTGGACGAGATGACCGCCAAGTGGGTCAAGTTTGGTGGTGAAGATCACACTGCCGACGAGTACTTCAATCAGATCGCGGTGTGCACGAACGAGAGCAAGACGTTCCTCTCCAAGGCTGACGAGAAGACCACAGCGAAGGACGCGGTCGACGCCCTGCGCGCGTTCAAGGTTGAGTGCGAGAAGGCTATCAAAAAGGCCTCGGCCGAGAGGGCGAAGCAGTTGGCGAAGGCATCGAAGGCGACGGGCGCAGATAGGGGCACTAGCCAGCCACGCCAACCCGCTGGGTGGAGGAAGGAGGAGGTGATCGGAAGGAGGAGCGGAGGACCCCCCGAAGGGCGGAGGAAGGAGGGAGATGGGATATAGGGTACCCTGGGATCTCCAATTGGCCCGAGTGGGCCCCAAGAAGGCTTCAAGATGGCCTCTAGGATCCCTGGGGGGCGTCAGGGGGGGGGGCAAGACGCTCCTAGAGGGACCCAATCGGGTTCGAAGGGGGCTCCGAGAGAGGCCCAAGAGTTGTCTCTGGTTTGGGGTTTCTGGCGGGCTTGGTCGCCCCTATGCGCGGCGCTCGTCGCGCAGCCTGGCGCGACCTCGGTGGCGCCGTCGCAGCCGCAGTTGGCCAAGGTCTTCAAAGACGCGTTCGACCAGGGCAAGTTCGCCAATGGCATCAACGTCAACTGGGCTGTGTCTGACGTCTACAAGGGGGAGCTCCGCGCTTGCATGGTCCCTGGAGATCGCTGCAAGGCGATTGCCGATGCCATTCGCAAGCTGGACTACTACGCCTCCCAGAAGGGTTGGGTCGAGCAGGCCATGAAGAAGTCCGCCCAGGAGTACGCGAGCGCCGTGGTCGTGAAGATGGGCATCGTCAAGAAGATCGAGGCGCAGCTGTGTCACTTTGGTGACAAGCAGTTGTTCGGGAATTCGCTGTTGGACGGTGATGAGAGCGTCCAGGGCTTCTTCCGCCCCCAGTTCTACCGCGGCAAGGAGAACGGCTTCTTCGTGGCCCACTCGACCGATTACGACCTCGTCGACGCCCGCATGCTCCTTGAGGGAGAGGAGGTCATCGCTGGCATCCGCGCGAACGCCCTCGCGGGGGTCACGGCGAAGGAGAAGTCCGAGCAGCTCTGCGCGCTCAGCTTGGAGTCCATCGTGAAGCTCATCACCGAGAAGGGGTTCGCCTTCCACATGAAGCCCAACATGATGTGCGTCATCCCGAACGGGTTCGCCGTGATCTACCTGAACTGCAGTACCACTGAGGTCTTGCATGGCCTCCGCTGGCAGATGCACGGGGGCAAGAAGAACGTCGAGGCCACTTTGTCGACGTTGGAGCCGATGGTGCAGAGCAGTCCCGAGCTCGCGACCACCGACGTCGGCAAGATGGTCAAGGCAAGGCCATCACTCCTCTCCCCCCGTCCCCCCTCCTAAGCTTGAGCCGCGAGGGGGGAGGTGGCAAGGGGTCTCGAAGGGCCCGAGGGGTCTTGAGGGCCCCGAGAGGGGCCCAAGGGGTCCTGAGCTTGAGCCACGAGGGGTCTTGAGGGCCTGCCACCCTCGTTCGGATGTCATTCCCTTGGGGCCACTCTGAGTCCTCCTCCCCCTCCTCGGAGCCTTCTCCTCCTCCTCCTCCTCCTCCTCCTCCTCCCTTCTCCTTCCTCCTTCCTCCCTCCTCCTCCCTCTTCCTCCTCCTCCATCCTCCTCCTCCCCCTCCTCTTCCCCCCTCCCTCCTCCCTCCTCCCGTTTTCGCAGGGCCATGCGGCTGCGCCAGGGCGGCCTCCTGGAGGCGGGCCCGCGGCCTCCAGGGCCCTCTCGGAGCCACCTTGCGGCCAACGTGTGGCCCGACGGATTTTGCAGAACCTTGCAAAATCCGTCGGGCCCCCCTCCTGCGCCCACTGGCGCGCGGGAGGGCGGCTGGGCGGGGTCCGGCGGGGTGGAGAGGCCATCCTGCTCTCCCATTCCTCGCCTATCCTATCCCCTTTTTTTTTTTTCTTTTCCATCACAGGCTGACGATGTGCCTTTCGACCGATGCCGATACCGATACCGATCCTCCCTCCTCCCTCCTTCTCCCTCCTCCTCCTTCCTCCCCCCCTCTTCCTTCCCCCCCCTCCTCCCTGCCCCCTCCCCCCGCCCCGAGGCGCTGCGCGAGGCCTACGCCAACGGGAAGTTCGACGCGTGGGACGCGGGCTCGGCGACGGCGTCGGGCGCCTGAGGCCTGGCGCCGCCTGGCGCCTGACGCCTCCGCGTGGCCGACCCGGGGGCGCTCAGAGAGTCCGACCGGGGGTCGGGCGCCAGGGGGGCAGGAGAGGGAACGGCGATCCCGCGGGCCAGGGCCGAAGTTGTAGTGTACGTCGGGGGCATTGGAGAAGGAAGCTCTTCCGACCCTGGAGGAGTCTTTACCTGATGAGGGCGTCGACGATACCCATGGCCGATCCACAATTTGACCTCGACAGGCTTTCAGACCCTGGATTCCTTATCCACTTGTTTCCTTATCCAAGGCCCCCGCCGTGCCCTACAACTTCGGGGTGATACGTTGTCCAGGAGTGGTCTGGGGTCTGGGAATGGATGTCAGAGTTCTTTTATCTAGGGATTTTGTTTCGCTTATCGTCGCCGTTCTCCTGCCCCCCGTCTTGCGGGGCGGACTGCGACTGCGGGGCGACCAGTCGAGCAGGCCGACGACTGACAACCGACATGATGCAGTCGTCGTCGTCGTCGTCGTCGCCCTCCTCCCCCCTCCTCGCCCTCCCCCCCCCACCACCGCCCCGTGCGGCGATGGGGCCGGGGGGGGGCGGAGGGGGAGGAGGACAGGATGACCTCGCCCTTGTCCGAGTCTGGCCGCTCTAAGGGGGGCGGCTTCCCTCTTCGCCCTCCCCTCTCTCATCCTCAGTCCTGCTGCTTCGTGGCTCCACCGTGGGGCTCCACCTACTTCCCCTACCTCCTTATCTATGGCTTCCTTCTAACTTCTAACACCTCGGGTCCTTTTCAGGAGCGGCTTCGTCCATTGAGCGTTTATTCGCGCTTTCGGGAATGAATGCGATGCGCTTCGTTTTTGAGGTTTCACAGTGCACGCTACATCAGCTGCAATGCGTGCCAAAAACGGTTGCCCCTGCCCCGCGCCTCCATTGTTGTATCGACGCGTCACGCGCGCGCGTTTGCTCAGTGGTCTGGGATCTGTGCCCATTCATGTTAGCCCCGGGTGCTTCCAGCACATTGTGATTTATGATCGCGCCTGGCCTGGTCGATGTTTTGGGGTGGTGCGCTTTGGCGCAGTAGCACTTTTCGCCGCTTCTGTAGCCGACGCGTTCTTTCCCATTGTCACCACCCATGGTTTTCGGCGGAGTCGTTGCCAACTTAAGTTTCCCTTATCGTTTTGATGTGGCTTGGGGGCCGAATATGAACTTCGCCCTGGCCTTCAGTTTTTCATCGAAATCCATATATCTGGGGTTTAGTTTTTGTGGTTTCTGCGCCCTCGAAACGACCCGTGTGGGAGGGCGCGGCCCCACGCGAACATCATAGTCGGGCCCACAGAGGGCCCACAGAGGGCCCGACCCGTCGACCCCCCCGGGCTCCCCCTCGGAGGAGGAGGAGGAGGAGGAGGAGGAGGAGGAGGAGGACGGGGCCTTCCTCTCGTCGGCCCCGAAGGGGCTCCTCCGTCGGCCACAGGCTGCCTCTCTCGTTGGCCTTCGCAGGGGCGTCCTCCGCCCACCCCAAAAAGGTGTACGCCCGCGTCGGCCACGGGGCCCGCCTCGTCGGTCTAGGGGGCTCCTCTCGTCGCCACCGCGTCGGTGCCAAGGGCTTCTCTGGACGCCCCTCGGAGGAATCTCTCGTGGCGGCCTCCTGGGGGCAGCCATCGTTGGCCCCAAGGGGCCTCCTCCTCCGCCGGTTCCAAGGAGGAGCAGGAGGAGGAGGAGGAGGAGGAGGAGGAGGAGGAGGAGGAGGAGGAGGAGGAGGAGGAGGAGGAGTGTAAACCCAAGACTCATCAAGCATGTTGCAGAAGCTCCCCTCCAAGCTCCCACTTCATAGGCCCCTACAAGGATTCATTTTCACTGAAGGAAGTGCCTGTTTGGAAATCAACCGTTTGAAAATCCTGAACTGTGCCAGAACACCGTTCTTGGGACGTCAACGTGGCGAATCACTCCTACTGTTGCGACCTGACGATCCTGAATCGCGCCAGGACACCGTTCATGGGACTTCAACACCACGAACCAACGCAACTGTTGCACCCTGACAGTCCGACGCCGTGCCAAAACATCATTTCTGGAACGCTAGCCATGCGAATCCTTGAGACTGCTGTGAACTCCTAAAACGATTGTTTGCGCGGCGCTGGGGCGAGAGCCACATGTTGAAAACGGCCAGCCCTCCATCCGTGAAGCCGTTACATTTGCTGTGCGCGGCGCTATGGCGAGATCCACATGTTGAAAAGGAAACGTTTTCCATCCGTGAAAGTGCTGCAATGTGTTAGGACAAATCTGCGCGGCGCTACGTCAAGAGCCACATCTTGAGAACGGCTCTCTTGCTTGTGTTTATAAAACAAATGTGCGCGGCGCTGGGGCGAGAGTCTCATGTTGAAAACCATTTGTCTTCAATACATGGAAAGAGCGCGTTCTGTGGTCGCTTGGAGGAGGGGGGGGGTTGGAACCGGACCCCCCCCCCCGGATGGAGGGGGGGGGTCGAACCCTCTCCACCCCCCCGCCCCTGGATGGAGAGTGGGGGGGGCTTTCCATTTCTGGGCCGGCGCCGGCGCCTGCGGCGGCGGTGGCGGGGAGCGTCGACGAGGATAACGGTGGTGGTGGTGGTGGGTTGTGGTGGTGGTGGTGGTGGTGGTGGTGGGGGTGGTGGTAGTTGTGGTTGTGGTGGTGTGGTGGTTTGTTGTGGTGCTGGTGGCTGTGTGGCGGTAGGTGGTGGTGGTGTGGTGGTGGTGTGGTGGTGGTTTGTGGTGGTGGTGGTGGTGGTGGTGGTGGTGGTGGTGGTGGTGGTGGTGGTGGTGGTGGTGGTGGTAGTGGGTAGTGGTGGTGGTGGTGGTGGTGGTGGTGGTGATTTGGTGGTGGTGTGGTGGTGGTTTGGTGGTGGTGGTGGTGGTGGGTTGTGGTTGTGACGGTGGTTTGTGGAGGTGGTGGTGGTGGTGGTGGCGGTGGTGGTGGTGGTGTGGTGGTTTGTGGTAGTGGCGGTGAGTTGTGCTGCTGGTAGTTGTGGTGGTTGTGGCGGTGGAGGTGGTGGTGTGGTAGACTGGTGGTGGTGGTGGTGGTTTTGGATTTCTGTGGTGGTGGTGGTGATGGTAAGTTGTGGTGGTGGTTATGGTGGTGGTTGTGGCTATGGTGGTGGTGGTGGTTGTGTGGTGCTGTTGGTGGTGGTGGTGGTGGGTTGAGGCGGTGGTGGTGGTGGTGGTAGTGGTGGTGGTGGTAGTGGTGGTAATCGTCGCTGCGTCCCCGCCGTCGCCGACGCCAGCGCCGGCGCTGCTGGCCGCCGCCAGCGCCGGCGCCGAGGGGGGAGGGGAGGGTTTGAACCCCCGCCCCCCCCCTTGGGAGGGGGGGGGGTTGAAACCCCCCCCACCCTCTAAGCTGCCTCTGGTCATCGTCGCTGCGTCCCCGCCGCGCCGTGGGCGCTGCTGGCGGCCGCAATCGCCGGCGCTGGCGCCGAGGGGGGGGATGGGGTTTGACCCCCCCCCCGGCCCCCTCCCTGGGACGGGTGGGGGTGGGGGTTCGAGAGGGGGGGGGGGATGGGGGGGAGGGGAGTCCCCCTGGTTTTGATCGACGGCGCCGAGTGTTGGAGGGGGGGCCCACCCCCCCGCTTTGAAACGCGCCGCCGAATGTTCCCAAGGCAAGCGCCCGTGAAACGCGTTCTGGATGCTCGCGGCGCTAATGCGATAGCCACATGTGGAAAGCACCCCGCCCTCCAGCCATGAAGCAGTTGCAGAATTTATGCTTCAGGATCATAAATATCAGGAGGAAAAGAAACACACAGACACAATTCATCGTCGATCCCCAGGAAAATATGGGAAACTATGGGAAGTGGGGGGGAAGACAGAAACCCAGAAGATATAGGAAAATATGGGGAATCCTTTTATTTGTGTCTATTTATTTGTGTGTCCTTGGGCCCCTTCAAAATATCTCGGTCAAAACGCCCGGCCCGCCCTTCCGACCAGTCGCCAGGTGCGACAGGGACAAGTTACTCATAAAGAAGGGTTGGAGGAGGAGGAGGAGGAGGAGGAGGAGCTCCCCATGGGGCCACGAAGCGCTGCCCTGGGTGGGGGAACCGCATGCGGGCACCCCCACTGGGGCCTTCGGCGGAGCTCCCCATGGGGCCACGAAGCGCTGCCCTGGGTGGGGGAACCGCATACGGGCACCCCCACTGGGGCCTTCGGTGGAGCTCCCCATGGGGCCACGAAGCGCTGCCCTGGGTGGGGGAACCGCATGCGGGCACCCCCACTGGGGCCTTCGGTGGAGCTCCCTATGGGGCCACGAAGCGCTGCCCTGGGTGGGGGAACCGCATGCGGGCACCCCCACTGGGGCCGTCAGTGGAGCTCCCCATGGGGCCACGAAGCGCCGCCCTGGGTGGGTGAAGCGCAGGGAAGAGGGGGAGGAGGGAGGAGTGGGAGGAGGAGGGGGACGAGAAGGAGGAGGAAGGAGGAAGGAGGAAGGTGGGACGCGGGGCGCTGTCTCTTCAAAACGAGGACCCAACACCACAGGATGGTTGGGAAACAGTCTCCAAGGAGTTGCCCGACCCCGGGGTGAGCAGCGGGCGAGGCGAGCGTGGGCACGCGGAGAGCGGCCGCGGCGGCCAACCAAGGGAGAGGGGTTGGCGAGGCGGGCGCGCACCGCCGCAGAAGGCCTCCCAGCTCGTCGATCGACTGCACGTCAGGGTGGCCCTTCGCCGGAGGGGCCTCTGTCGACTAGACGTAAGAGTGACCTTTCGCCGGAGTGACCTTTGGTGCGGGCTCAATGGGGCCCCCCGACCGCCGAAAACGAGGCAGTAGCAGCGGCTTGCGCGCTTGCTTTTGGTCCCCCCGCGGCCCTCCAAAAGCCGCGCACCAAAGGTCACTCTTACCCAGGGTCACTCTTGCGTGTAGCCGACTGGTGCGGGCCCACCAGGGCCTCTCGGTGCGACTCCCTAGGCCTCCTAGATAGGGTCGGGGTGGGTAGATGGGGTCGGAGGATCGCGCCGCAGCGCCGATGCCACGACGATGCGGCTCTGTGCGGAGCCCGATTTTCTCCACGCCGACGTCGCCGATGCGTCGCCGACGTTGGCGATGCATCGAAGATGTATCGCCGATGCATTGGCGGTGCGGCGCGATCCTCCGACCACATCTGCTCGGACCACATGCAGGAGGCCCCATGGTGACTTTTTTTGGTGCGCGCGATGGCATGGCAGCGGCCTGCGCGCTTGGATTTAGCCCAGACCGCGCCTCGCCCTCCTCCCCCTCCTCCTCCTCCTCCTCCTCCTCCTCCTCCTCCTCCTCCTCCTCCTCCTCCCTCTCCTCCCTCCTCCCTCCTCCTCCCTCCTCCTCCTCCTCCTCCTCCTCCTCCTCCTCCTCCTCCTCCTCCTCCTCCTCCTCCTCCTCCTCCTCCTCCTCCTCCTCCTCCTCCTCCTCCTCCTCCTCCTCCTCCTCCTCCGCGCACCAGCGGTCACTCTTACCCGGGGTCCCTCCTGCGTGTAGCCGACTGGAAACATCAGGATTCCACTCAGGACCCCTTTCCTTGGGCAGAGGAGAGGACGCATGACGCGAGGGGCAAAAGCAGCAACCGACAGACAGGACGACCGAGCTCAATGACGACGCCCAGGAGCACAGGCAAGCACTGGCCCACTAGGGACCTTCAAGCCCGGCGCCACTACTGTGGGGTCGTCGCAGCTTCTGAGGTTAAACAGGGGCCCGGGTATGGCGTGCGCAAGCCAAACTGGCAATACTAGTTTCCAGCCCGATTATAGTCAGGCGAACCTTCCGAGGGAATCCAGCTCAGTGGCGATTCGTTGAAGCCGCGGGGTTCCGCTCGCGTTTTGTCTGGCCGTTTCGCTCGAGACACCTTCACAATTCAGAAAACCCGACGCACCCTTCACGCAGATCTCGACGCCGGGTTGAAATAACGCAGCATTTCTATATTACAGCTCTCAAAAAGACAGCGGGCTTCAATGAGTTTGGACGCGGGTCTTTGACGATTTGCCGTTTCGGTTGAGACTCCCCCACACATGTGAAACCCGACGTATTCACAGTTGTCCTCGTATCCTCTAAAACGAGAGTTTCGCTCGACACATCCCCCCAAAGTTGACGTTGGAACTCGTTTCCACCTGCGATCGCACGATGTGGAATCCCTTCATCAGCCAGGCAACACCACCTGCGTTCGACTGTGATCCCCGCTCTTGCATGTCATTCCCAGCAACCATCTGGTGATCCTCATTCTCCGCATTCTCTCCCTTCTCCCTCTGATTTCACATCTCCTCGCTACTCGTCTTTTTCCTCGGATCTGCCTCATTTTCTTGTCCATCATGTGCGATGCTTACGTGCTGCAGTTCGTTGTATCAGCCTGGTCACGCACGTGCCACCTGTGTATGTTAAATAAATGCATAGATGTATAGGTGTATTCATGTCTATATATCACACACATATATAGAGAGAGACATGTATATGTGTATGCACGGGTGTTGTTTTTACGCTTCCCCGCTTTCCTTGTTCGCCCTCCTCCCCAGTTGCCTTGGGCGTCAGTCCGAGTCCCCCTCGCATGGATCGGTATGGGACACGCACGCTCGAGGTTATTTTGCAGCCGAGATCAGATTGAGGCATCGGCGGGACGGACGCGGGAATCTGAGATGTTTCAGTTGTTCCGCATTGTTCATTTCGGGTTGTGCAGTTGGCGCCAGTAGTCGCAGGTTGCAGAAATCGAAGTGGGCCCCGTGTCTGTGACCGTGAGTTTTTGACATCTATAAATATATATATATATATATATATATATATATATACACATGTGCACACTGTGTATACACGTAACCACATACATCCATCTATTCGTATATGTTGTAAATGTAGTTGCCGGCTGCCAACAAGGGTAGTAGCACCACTGGAACGAGCTCCACGGTGAGCACGACATCTGCGAGCAGCACCGTGAGCACCACCACTGCAACGAGTTCAACCACCACTGCCTCCAAAGCCACCGTCTCCACCACCACGGAGACGAGCAGTGCCACTGCGAGCAGAACCACCAAGACGAGTTCAACGGTGAGTACGTCCCCTGCAATGTCCACTTTCTCTAAAACCAGCGTCTCCGCCACTACAGCGACAGGCAGCATCACCACCGTGAGCAGCACCACCACCACTGTTTCCACCAACAGCTTTTCCATCAGCACCACCAGGACGAGCTCAACCACCACTGCCTCCACGACCACGGAGACGACCAGAACAATTGTGAGCAGTGCCAGCGCGAGAAGCACCACCAGAACGAGCTACATTGTGAGCACGACCTCTGCAACGTCCACTTTCTCAAAGACCAGCGTCTCCACAACTACAGTGACGAGCAGCACCACTGCAACGAGCTCATCCAGCACTGCCTCCAAAACCTCCGTCTCCACCACCACGGGGACGAGCAGCACGACTGTGAGCAGTGCCAGCGCGAGCAGCACCACCAGGACGAGCTCTACGGTGAGCATGACCTCTCCAACGTCCACTTTCTCGAAGTCCAGCGTCCCCGCCACTACAGCGACAGGCAGCAGCACAACCGTGAGCAGCACAATTTCAACGAGCTCCACCACCACGGTTTCCACCAATAGTTTTTCCATTATTGCACCGACGAGCAGCACCACCGTGAGCAGCACCACTGCAACGAGCTCAACCACCAATAGCGTCTCCACCACTACGGAGACGAGCAGTACAACTGGGAGCAGAGCCACCGTGAGCAGCACCACCGACTCAACGGGGAGTGCGACCTCTGCAACGTCCACTTTCTCCATGACCAGCGTCTCCCCCACTACAGCGTCGAGCAGCACCACCGTGAGCAGCACCACTGCAACGAGCTCAACCACCATTGTCTCCAAAACTACCGCCTCCACCACCACGGGGACGAGCAGCACAGCTGTGAGCAGTGCCAGCGAGAGCAGCACCACCAGGACGAGCTCCACGGGGAGTGCGACCTCTTCAACGTCCACTTTCTCAAAGACCAGCGTCTCCGCCCTTACAGCGACAGGCAGCAGTACCACCGTGAGCGGCACCATTTCAACGAGCTCCACCACCACGGTTTTCCTCAACACCTTTTCCACCACCACTACAGCGACGAGCAGCACCATCATGAGCAGTGCCAGTTGGAGCGGCACCACCGTGAGCAGGACCTTTGCCGCAAGCTCCACCGTGAGCAAGACCTCTGCAACGTCCACCGCACCGCTCTCCACCACAACAATTCCATTCACCGGCGTCTCCCCAGTCACATCGACGCGCAGTGCCATCGCCAGCAGCGCCGCCGCAATGAACTCCACCGTCAGCTCGACCTCGGGCACCTCAAGCACAACCATTAGCTCACCCAATTACACGGGAACATCAGCGACGAGGACGTTCACGCCCATGTCCACGTCCCCGACGACGGCAACGGCCGTACCCGTCACTTACAGCCCGACGACGCTCTCCACGACGCCTTTGTCCACGGCCTCTTCGTTTTTTACACACAGTGCAGGATCAACTTTTCTGATACGCGCGGTGGCAGCAGGTAATTCGAGCCTGCATGTGTTGCACACGACGGGTTTCAACATCGGTGACACCATTTCGATCGATGGTGACGGCAACAGCGAGACGGGAGTAATTGATCAAATCATTGAGAACATCCGGGGTTCTCGCGCCTTGTCGGCGTCGACGGGCAGCGGAGTGATCGTGTTGTTCCACGGCTTGACACACGGTTACCCGGTTGGCTCCAGCGTCATGGTCCTGAGCACCACTACAGTTACGTCCACGACGCTGGCGAGCTCAACCCCTACGACGACAAGTGCACCAACGTCTGCAACAAGTGCAACATATTCGTCCACAGCAACGTCCCCACGCGCCTCGAGCACATTTACCTCCACGTCCACGACAGTGGAATTGCTACCACCAGGTTTTCACGACATAATCAACGTGGACGTCGAAATCAACCTCGACATTAACGTCAACGCCAACAACGTCGTCACCACCACGACCACCACCACCACCACCAGCACATCTGTGGGTTCCATCGCTACACATATCACGTTTACGTCCACATACACCGCCTCCGCGACCACGATCACGTCGGTGACCTCCGCGAAGGAGCCATTAGCATTCACGTACACATCGACGTCCACATCTTCGCCCACACACACATCTCACACGAGATTGTCATCGATCACGCCCACATTCACCACCTCATATGCAAGCACACACATGGTTACATCTGGGTTCACATCTAGTTCTGCGTCCACAACAGTGGCCACAACCATACCGCCCAACTACAGCCCGACGACACCCTGCCCGACGCCCACCACCACGACCACCACGACCACGAGCACATCTATGGGTTCTATCGCTACACATATCACGTCTACGTCCACATACACCGCCTCCGCGACCACGATCACGTCGGTGACCTCCGCGAAGGAGTCATTGACATTCACGTACACATCGACGTCCACATCTTCGCCCACACACGCAGTTCACACGAGATTGTCATCGATCACGCCCACATTCACCACCTCGTATGCAAGCGCACACATGGTTACATCTGGGTCCACGTCTAGTTCTGCGTCCACAACAGTGGCCACAACCATACCGCCCAACTACAGCCCGACGACACCCTGCCCGACGACCACCACCACGACCTCTTCGTTTATGGCACATGATACATGGGGGTCGACTATAACGATAGCCGCGGTGGCAGCAGGTGATTCCGGCCTGCATGTGTCGTCAACGTTGGGTTTCAATATCGGCAGCACCATTTCGATTGAGGGTGACGGCAAGAGCGAGACGGGAGTAATTGATCAAATAATTAACAGCATCAGGGGTTCCCGTGCCTTGTCGGCATCGACGGGCAACGGAGTAATCGTGCTGTCCCACAGCTTGACAAACGCTTACCCAGCTGGCTCCAGCGTCATGGTCTTGAGCACTACCACAGTTACGTCCACGACGTTGGCGAGCTCAACCCCTATGGCGGCAACGGCGTCAACGCCTTCTGCGACGGCAGGTTCCGAGTCCACCACGCAGATGACCACGTCCGCCATCACAGGCTCCACATCTTTGAGCACGGGGACCGCGACGTCAACGACGGCCGCAGTCCCTCGCGGCGTGGAAGTGCCTCAGCTGGGCGAGGATGACCCCGTGGTGGCATCCATGCTCGTGGTGGGTGTCCTCATAGGTGCCCTGGTCGGTCTCCAGGTCCACCTCTACCGTGCCGTTCGCAGGCGCCATCGCGGGCAGCGGGCCGTGGCCCCTGGGGGCGGCGCTGGGGCTCCTCCCGAGAAAGAGGAGCCCGCAGGCTCTCTGTTCCTTCGCAGGCCTCAGCCTCACTTCAAGGTCCCCCCTCTGGCGCGCGAGTCCGACCTGTATCTGGAGGACATGGAGGACAGCCTCTTTCAGGATACATTTTTTTATTCCCTGGCGATGCCGGGCGTGACCGGGGGGGGGGGCGGGAAGGGGCCGGTCACGTCACGATTCGCGCCGGCGCCGTCTGGGAATGTGTGCAGGTTCGGCAAGAAGTCCCACACGGCGCCAGCGCAAATCGTGACGTGATCAGGGGGTTGGGGTGGGGACGGGCGTGATCGCAGGTGAGTGGAAAAGGAAAAGGAGGAGGTGAAGGAGGGGGATGATGATGATGAGGAGGAGGAGGAGGGAATGGAGAAGGAAATGGAGGAGGAGGAAGAGGAGGAGGAAGAGGAGGAGGAGGAGGACAAGCTAGGTGCGCTCGCGTCATATCTGCCATCCTACCCCTCCCTCCCATCCCTTACCATGGCGTAGATCCCCTCTCTACTCGCACAGTCGGATGTCAAGCAGGGCAATGATCCCGAAAGGGTACGCGATGCATTGTAGAGCACGGCATGGCATGGCGTAGAAGAGCACCGCAAAGCGTAGTATGTCACAGCATGGCGTGGCGTGGCGTAGTGAAGACTTGCATCACAAAACTTTGCAACACAAAGCATGGCATCGCACAGCGGCCCCGAACATAACATTGCATAGCATAGCGTTGAACATCAAAGCGTAGCATTGCATAGCACGACGTGGCACTGAAGCACTGCATATCACAGCTTCAGCTGAAGGCATGGCATCGCGCAGCGGAACACAACCTAGCATTGCATTGCATGCCGTGGCATGGCACGGGGAATAAGGCCAGCGCTGCAGCGGGAGCACGATTCGGAACGAGCGGAAGCGCGGACATGAGGCCAGCGTTGCAGCGGGAGCACGATTCGGAACGAGCGGAAGCACAGAAATGAGGCCAGCCAGCGCTGCATCGGGAGCACGATTCGGAACGAGCGGGGCCCGAAAATGAGGCCAGCGCCTCAGCGAGAGAAGAATTTTGAAAAACATGCAGGCCAAAACCCAATTCCAGGGGATCCTGTGTGTAAAAGAACAGTAAAAGAACAGTACGGGGGGGGGGGGGGGGGGGGCGAACACTCCCAACCCGTCATCAGGGGAAGGAGGAGAGTAGTATTCATATTGAGCAATTGTGGAGGAGGAGGGAGGAGGAGGAAGGAGGGAGGAGGAGGAGGAGGAGGTGGAGGAGGAGGAGGAGGAGGAGAGGAGGAGAAGAGAAGAGAAGCGAAGAAACGAACAAATGCGCTCGAGGGAATCCTGCCCGCGGGCCCGCCGCTGCGCGCCGCCACGGCGGGCGCCGCAGCGTGTGCGGGGCGGCGGCGCTCGGCGCGCGCGCCGCCCGGCGCGGAGGGCGTGCGGCGCGCGGGGCGGGCCTCGGGCGCGCCGCCGGGCGCCGGCGGGGGCCTCCTCGGATGGGCTCGTCTTCCGCCACCACCACCACAGGTTGGAGGAGGAGGAGGAGGAGGAGGAGGAGGAGGAGGAGGAGGAGGAGGTGGTGGTGCGCGTGGAGCAGCAGGAGGAGGAGGAGGAGGAGGAGGAGGAGGGCCCCTTCCCCCTCCTACTGATGGTGGTGGTGGTGGAAAACAAGCCCACCATCCTCGGCGCCGTGGTGCCCGTGGGCGCGAGGCCGAGCGGCGCCTGGGGCAGCGCCGCGTCGGAGGTTTCCAGGCGATTTGCAATGCTTTCCCTACGTGTAGCTCACGCCCATGAGAGCCCATCAGGCGCTTGCGCGGAGATTCGCCCCGCCCCTGGCGCGCTCCGCGCGCCAGGGAGGGGGCCCAGCGCAGATCCAAGAAACCCGTGCGGAGCGCCAAAAGTTTAGGTTCATGCCGTTTGTGTCTCAGTCCACTCTGCAGCCACAGGTGAACCCAGACCCTGGGCGCCCCGAAGCAAAAAAAGGCAAGATGGGGGCGGAGGTTTTGTGTTGCGCCGGCGCCGGCCTCTCGGGGCCCTCGACTCGCCGGGCCTCTCGAGGCCCGTCAGGAGCCGGCTCGGCACGGGAGGCAGGTGCGGGGGAAGTGGTCGGGAGTTCTGTGGGCCCTGGAAACGGCAGGGCCGTTTTTTCACCGTTTCCCTAAAAAATGTCCCTTGACCATGGAAGCGGCGGAAAAAAAAGGCGACCGGAAAGGGCAAACAAACGGCTCCAGGATTGGAACCAGAGCCGGAACCGGTCAAAAAACGGCGACGGAGCCGGTAAACAAACGGCGTCGGAACGGGCAAGAAAACGGCAAAACGGAACCGGTAAAACAAAACGGCCCTATCGTTTCCAGGGCCCACTAAGGTCGGGAGCTTGGGGGCCCGCGTCTCGAAGGGATCGAGACGTCGGATGTCTGGGGAGGGGTGTGCTCACGGCCTGGGTTAGGCTTGCGATCTGCGTCGCTTGGACATGGGGGGCACCACGTTACCCTCGCTGGGCCTCCTCCTCGGGCCTCCTCGGCCATCTCCTCATCCTCGTCCTCCTCCTCCTCCTCCTCCTCCTCCTCCTCATCTGCATCGTCCTGGCGTTCATCCTCCTCATCGTCCTTCTGCTCCTCCTGCTCCTCGCTCTCCCCCTCTTTCTCCAGGCACGACGGAGAACTCTGTCGATGTCCTCGCCCACCCCCCTGGGTGCGCGTGGCAAGCCACACCCTTTGCAAGCCACTCCTTTCGGAGTCGTCGAGAGGCGGCGTGGAGCGGAGTGGAGCGGTGGGCGCACGTGGTCCCAGGCGTCGGCGTGGACCACCTCTCTGCCTCCGACGACCCGTCTGCACCACTTGACTCGCTCTGCATCGCCTCGATGTCGCCCGACGACTTCGTGGCGCCCGACGTCCACGTTCCGTTGTGAGAGCGAGAGCTGTTTTTTCCACGTGCGGTCCGTTGGGTTTGGTGGGCAAACACTGCCCGCCCCCGCGGTGACCGCCATGACATCGTCAGGCACCTCCTCCACCACTGCGGCGGCCACTGACGTCGACGCTTGGCGCACCCGCCAATCAGCGATTCAGATCAGAAGGGTTGGACACCCTGGGACGGGGCCCGTGGGTGTCCAACCATTCGGAGAACAACCGTGGAGCGTCTGGCCGCCCACTCCCTTTCCTTCTGTCCCTTCCTCGCCCGTCCCCCCGTTGCCAGCTGTCCTTCCTCGCGGGCGACGTGGAGGGGGGGGGGCCATTTCTGCTCAGGGGCTTGGTGTCGCTCGGACGTGTGCATTTTTTCTCGGCGGGGGCCATCGGGAGGCATCTGGGATCATCGATACAAAAACGCGCAAACGGACAAATGCGCGGGGAATGGACGTCCGAGCGAGGGCGAGCGGGGCGGGTACGTCCACCCGCAGTCGCCCATGCACGCTCGACAGGGGCAAGACAGCTCGGCGGCGAGCGAGGGGGGAAATTAGAAGGAGAAGGCCTTCTCAGAAAGCGGCGGGGCTTCTCAGAAGGCCTCCGGCCTTCTGAGAGGTTTTTTGCGTCTTCCGGGAAGGCTTAGAGAAGAAGCTCTCAGAAGGCCTGGGGACTTCCGAGCTTTCTCAGAAGGCCTTTTCATGTTCATTTCCTCCCTGGGATCGCCGCCGAATAGGGACAGGATAGCACACCCCGCCCAGGACCATGCGGACTCGCTACCCAGGGGGGCCTCTTCGCAGAGACCAGCTGGCGATGTGTCGCCGGTGCCAGCTGGATGCCTTTCCCTCCCTGAGCTGGTCCCCCTTTGTCGATCCCCCTCCTCCTCGTCCTCCTCGTCCTCCTCCTCCTCCTCCTCCTCCTCCTCCTCCTCCTCCTCCCTCCTCCTCCTCCTCCTCCTCCTCCTCCTCCTCCTCCCCTCCTCCTCCTCCTCCTCCTCCTCCTCCTCCTCCTCCTCCTCCTCCTCCTTCTCCTCCTCCTCCCTCCTCCTCCTCCTCCTCCTCCTCCTCCTCCTCCTCTCCTCCTCTTCCTCCTCCTCCAACTGCTCCTCCTCCTCCTCCTCCTCCTCCTCCTCCTCCTCGCGCACCTTTTCCTTTTCATTATGCTCCTCCTATTCCCTGCGACCTCCCCAATGCGGTCTCTGCAGTGTTTCGGCCCAGTGGCCACCCCCCACTTGCGGCCCGCGTCCCGCTGATGCAGCGCGCCGTCGAGCTGTTGGTGGAGGCGGGTGACGCTGCGCTCTACCAGAGTCTGCGAGCCGCGCCCTTCGAGCGGCTCGCTGGCCAACCACTTCCCTTGACGGACCAGGCGGCCCCAGCCTTTGGGTCCTCTTGGCCGTCTCAGGCGGCGGGCTTCGGAGCAGTGGCGGAGTGCCCTGCCTCCGGGGGATCCGCCTCCTGTCCCACCGTCTGCCTTGGGCTGGCGGTGGACCTGAGCGGCGGGGTCTCTCCTCTGCTGCTCGCGACGGTCCTCTCGCTCGTGGGAGTGACCGCTTGCTGCAGCTTCTGCGGAGGCTGCTGTCTCGCGGGCCTGGTGGTCCGCTGCGCAGGCCCGTACCTGGCGCGCGTGCGCCGCGCGCTTGGGGCGTCTACCCTTGCGCCCGCAAGGGTACCTGCTCGGGCCTTGGCCTACGGCCCTGGCCCCCCAGCCGCTTCGTGCGGTTCCGTGGCGGCGGGTCTTCGGCCCGCGTCGCCGCGGAGGGGTAGTCCCCTCGGGCAGGCTTTCGGGCTGCCCGCGCGCGTTCCGTCGCCACGGGCGCGCTGACGGTTCATCTGCGGACCCGACACGAGGCTCGGCGGCGAGAACTGCCCCACAACGCTGGAGACGATGGCTGCCGTGCCCCCGTTTCCAGAAGGCCCCGTGTGGCCCGAGCTGCACCCCTTCGAGACGCCGCCTGCGGCGGGCTATGCGCTATGCCAGATGGCGGTTCGACGAGGGCGACCTCGGCTTCGCAGCCATACCGCTTGCGCAGCGGGGCGGAGGCGTGCTGCTTGCCCTTCCGTCATCTTTCCGCTTGGCTGCCGACTTGGCGGCCGCGGGGGCAGAGGGTTTCTCGGGGCTGCTGGGCCCGTATATGGTGCTGGACACGCCCCTCCTCGGGGCGGGCTCACGCGCGCTGGCCACCACGGCTTCCGTCCTTGTGATCGACTTAGACATCATCGAGTTGGAGCTGGAGTCGTTGTCGCCGCTGCCAGCGGCTTTGCCGGCCGATCTCGTCCCGTTTGCGACGGCACGGGGTCGAGGCTACTGGCCGCATCCGTCCATGGTCAGGCTGCTCCGCGAGCAGTTCGCCACCCTCCACGGTCCCCCCCCCCCTGCCGACGGCGAGGAGGACTTGGCGGGGGCCGAGAGAGCGACCCCGTTATCACACAGATTCGGAGGGAGTCGAGGAGATCGCGTCAATCTCGGATCCGGGGGAGGCAGGCGCCGCCGACTGCGAGCCTGCGGCTCCCGTGTCGGCCCCACCTCCCAGGCGCCCAGGGGTCTACGCAGGGCCCGCTGCTTCCGTGGCTCCTGCTGCGCAGCCGCGAGCTCCTAGCCGAGCGGGAGCGCCCCTGGACGGCGGCGCGCCCGCGACCAGAGCGGAGGTCGCAACGGAGATGAGCGCGGTGATGGCGGCCCAGGCGGCCTTCCCGCACCAATCACCCGTGCTGCCGTTGGCGGGTCCCCCGCGAGAGCCCCAGGTGCCTCGTCGCGACGCTCCTCAGCTGTTCGAGGGCGAGGCCGCTCGCCCGGGGACCCCGCTGCACGACCTGCAGAGCATCGCGACGCGAGCCTCTCCCGCCCCGCCGCGGGTGCCAGCCGCGACGGGCGCTCCCGTCTCCGCCCTGGTAGCAGCATGGGGGGCTTCACGACCCATGAAAGCGTCGGCCAAGGCTTCGCCGTCTCTGGCCACGTTGCCAGGGGGGCCACGGCCCCCCGCCCCCGGCTGGGGGCCCGCTGTCGCTGGGGGGGGGGGCCGCCGCGGCAGGGCCCTCGGCCCCAGCCGCGACCCCGCCATCGACGCTGGACCTCGCGCCGGTGTGTCTCCGAGGGGCCCTCTCGCGTCAGCAGGGCCCTCGAGCGTCGCCCCACCCTCCAGTGGGTTCGCTCGACGAGCAGTCGCAGTCACAGCCGGGGCCATCTGCAGACGGCGCAATCGCGATGATTCAGATGCAAAGAATCGCGCGACGTCGCGAGTGGCTGCAGGCGCTCTTGCAGCACGGGCCCCGAGTCATCGAACTATTGCAGGAGAATGTGGCTCGTGTTCTTGGGATTCGCTTGGAAGACGTGACGCCGTGTCTCTGTTCCAGACTTTTCGGGGACAGGGCCCGCCGGGCGTCGGCCCGCGAGCTGCCGACCCACTTCGCACGGCCGAGTGCCGAGCTCTGGCGAGCCAGCGAAAAAGGCGACGCAGAGCGCGTTCAGACCCTGCTGTCTTGCCAGTGCATGTTCGTGGATCAGCTGGCTGGGGGTCGCGGGCATCTCGAAGCGGCGCGGTTTCTGACGGGCTCGGAGGGCCCCCCGACGCGCGCGTGGCGCGCCAGCGCGCGGAGCGAGAGGCGCGCAGCCCGTTCTCGCCTCTAGTGGGCCCGCGCTGGCTGTCGGCGCAGGGGGAGCACGTGAAGGAGCTGACCTCCTACCGATCCCGCCCGGGCTCGGAGCGAGCTGCGGCTTCAAAGGGCCCGAGCTCCAAGCCGGAAGAGGAGGCGAGCCAGAAGCCGAAATCCAAAGGCTCGGCTCCGCCCAAGGCAAAGGCCCTGGCGCCGAGCCGCCCTGGGGTCGATGGGCCGCCCCCTCCGGGGCGCCCCCCTCCGTCTGCCCTCTGCGGAAGGTCGCTGCGCCGGGCGCGCCGAGTCTGAGTTTGGCCCCGGGGGCTTGGGGCGAGCTCTTCCAGCGAGGGCGTTGCGCCGCAGCAGGGGAAAGCGCGCCCCGCCGTCGCGACGCGGATTCGGGTCCTCTTCCGCCCCAGCGTTCCGCTAGCCATTTTGGTTTTCTCCGCTCCGCTCCCTCGCCCACTGCAGCCGCCGGGGGTGGCTGGGCCGAGGGAGGTCGCGCGGGTATACGCGCTTTTCCAGCGAGGGCGATGCGCCGCCGCAGGGGGAGGTTCGCTCCGCCAGCGCGATTTCCGTTCGCCGGCTCCTGGCGCAGATGCTTCCACGGATCGCCTTGGTCTGTCTGCCCTCGGCGACGCTTCCGCGGGCGCCGAGAGGCCTTCTTCTGCCGCTGCGTCGGGGAAGCCGTCCTCTCCCTCGCGTGGTTCCGGCGGCCTCCGCGCCCCCGTAGCGAAGCAGCGCTCGGCCCCCCGTCTCTTCACACGCTTCGGCTTCCGCCGATCAGGCCGCCCCTTTTGTCGCGGATATGTCTGCCTCGCTGCGCGTATTTCCAGGCGCGAACATCGACTTCGCCCACTGGGCGGCTGCTTTAGCCCAGGTCGGGGTGGATCCTCGGTGTTCCCCTGCTTCGTTCTCTCGCCCACCGCAGCGGTTCTCTCGCTGAGTCGCTTCCCCGCGATCCCTGGCCGCGCCCCCCCGCCCCGCCCACCCCGCCGCCGCCGCCGTCGCCGGTCGGCCGCGCGCGGGAGCGGTAGCGCTTGAGGCGCTCAGCTCGCATACTTGCGCAACACGCCGCGAGCTCTTGGCTAACTCTTGGCCGGCCGAGCCTCGCCCCCGCCGAGGCTCGCGTGCGAGCGACGGTCTCGCCCTGCCGGGAGGGCGCGCGCTGCCGCATCGAGCGGTTGCACCAGAGTGCAGTTCGCCTTGCCCGCGGCGGCAAGAGCGACTTAGGTCGAGCTTTCACAAAGTTTGACGCCACTGAGGTCTCGCTCCATGGCCTGGCTACCCACGTTGCAGCGCTGGAGGCCTCGTGCACCTCCTCTTCGGCCGTCCCGGCGCCTATGCGACAGCGTCCTTCTTCTGCCCCCCTTGCGCCTGGGTCACTTGCCGCCGCGACGTCGCGGGGCTCCACCCGTGCCGAGCCATTCGACCTCAAGGTCATGGCGTCCCGCACCAAGTGGGATTATTCTCCTTCGTTTGACCCCGCTCGCTTCCTGGCCGATCCGATCGTGCGTCAGGCCTTCTGGGGCCCTGATGTCATCGGGCGGCCCAGGGCAAAGCGGCCTACGGGCCAGCAAGGGACACGCGTCCACATGGACCGCTCAGACCTCTGGGCTCTTCTTCGCAGATGGGACGCTTGCGGCGCACTGCACCTCGCCCCTGCTGCTGAGTTTTGCTGGAAGGAGGCTTGCGGGACCTTTCGCGTCGGACGGCGAGTTCGATCGCTTGATTAACCCTGTGGTCGTCAACGGCTGTTGCCACTCTGTCTCTTTGTGTACCCAACGATGGGGCCAACGGTTTCTGCTATGTGGACTCGCCTCGCTGCAGGAGAATGGCCGGTCGTCTCCGGCGACGAGTTGATGAAGTTTTACTGCGCCTTCCGCGCCCCACGCCCTCGCAGGAACGCGCTGCGGGTCAGGTTGCCCTGGGGCCTCTTCAAGTCCTTCCGCGCCCGGCGCCCCTAGCTGGCAGGCGTGGCCGTTGCGCCTTGCCTCAATGCACCATGGGCGACAATATGGCCGTCGAAATCGCCAGCCTGGCGCGCGAGGGGGCCCCCCGCAGCTTCGGCGCCCTTCGGCGTCACGAGCAGGCCCCCTTCCTAGGGGGGACTTCGTCGAGATGCTGAACATCGACGATCACACGGGCTCTCAGAAGCTCTCGCGACGCGGGCCCGCCCCTCGCCCCGACGACCCCTGTCGCCGCGATCAGGAAGCCTTCGCGGCGCGCGGCTGCGGTTATCCCCGAGTGGGCCTGACCCGGCGCCCGGGGACGCGCGCCCGCGGCGTGGCCCACGAGGTCATCGGTGGAGCCGAGGTCGAGGGGCGGATCGGGATCGCGTGCGCTCCCCTCGTTCGCACGGTCGCCCTCTGCAGGCCGATTTTGGTCAAAGTGTACCTCGGCTCCTCGACAGGTGCCCTCATGGCGTCTCTTGCTGGCTGCTGGGCGCGGGTGTTTCTGATCCGCCGCCCCATGCTTTCCCCTTGTCACGCACGTTTGCGCGCTCCTGACGCGGATCGCGCTGGATGGCGAGACTGAGCATGAGTTGTTGTTTTCCGTCATGGACGAGCTTGTAGCCTGCGCTTTCCTGGCTTTCACGACCATCGCCGACCTGCGCGCGGCCCTTGCACCGGGGTGTTCGGCACGGGCGCCCCCCTCAGCCGCGGGGGGGCGGTCCGCGCGGACATTGGCATTCAGTTGCCCGCAGCGTTTTGGAGACGTTCTGAGCGCGGGGGCTGTCGCACACTCGGCTCCACGATCGGCGCCTTCTCCAAGTTCTGAACCACGGGATTCCCCTTGGCCCTGAGCTCACCCAGCTGCATCGTGATTTGGGGATACCTTTTCTTGAGCCCTTGGTCGCGCCTCACTGCGCCACCGAGCTTTCTGAAGCTCTTCGCCTCCGTTTGTCGTACAAGTGGCAGTCCCGCGTGCCCAGACATATCAACATTCTCGAGACCGCTGTCTTCGAGTCTGCGCAAGTATTGTTGCATCAGGATGCCCGATTCTCGGGTCCCTGTTCTCTTAGATTCGAAAGTGGCTCTCGGAGCTGCGGCCTATGGGCGCAGCAATTCTCCGGGTCTGTCTCATGTCTCTCGCGCTACCCTTCCGTGCATCATCGGGGGCTGTCTGTATATGGGGGGTATGTACGTTCCGACGGACGCCCATCGGGCCGACGACTCCACTAGGCACCATTCGGTTCGAACCCCCTCTCGAGCCCCCCCCGCGTGGCTCGAGGAGGCGGAACGGGGTGAGTTTGAACGCTTCGATTACATGGCTCAGGCCGATGCTCTCCCCGTATCCCACGCTCCTCTGGGCGCGCCCCGTCGCCCTGCGCGCGGCTCATGGGTTGGGCCCTTCGGGCCTCCGCCGGGCGGCCGCCCCCCTTCTGGCGCGGAGATGGCCGCCGCCGACGGCGCCGCCGCGGAGCCAGCTCCTGAGGCCCCCGGCGGCGGCGGCGCGCGAGACCCGGGCGCCCCGCTTCCGCGGTCGCCCGGGGTCAGGAACGCCCCCGTCCCGGGCGCCGCCAGGGTCGCGCGCGCCAAAGCTGGGGTCGCCACAGGCACCTCTCGCCACGCGGAGGGAGAAGTCGCGGCGAGGGACGGTGCCGAGCCTGATGCCCCCCTGCGCCTGTCTCTCCCCAAGCACCGCTAGCGCCCAGTCCGCCGCGCTGGAGCTCGCGCGTGGCTGGGGGCGCTCCTGCCGTGGCGGGCGGCCGAGAGGTTCCCTCGGCAGCCGCGAGCGGCGGTGGTCAGCGCGTCGTCGCCCGAGCTGCCGGGTTGAACGACTCGCGAGCTGCCCTTCGAGTTGCCGCCGGAGCGGACCGCAGCGCCATCGAGGCGTCCGGCGCGCGGCGCGCGACTGCTATCCTGACACAGGAGGGGCGTTGCTCTCGGCCGCCGTCGTCGAGGATCGGAAGCTGCGATTCAAACGGCTCTGCGACGCCAAATCGCTGCTGCTCAACTACGAAAGCAGCCGTGGCGCTCCGGTGGTTCCTAGCTTCGACAGTGGGGGCGCAGCCGGCCAGGCTCTCGCCTGTGCTCAGGGGCGCGGCAAGGGGGCGCGCAAGGGCACGGCGGTTGCCAGCCGCGCTCTCGTGCAGTCCGCCCTGGACGAGGCCGCGCCCGAGCGTGTCGAGTTGTCGCGGGCTAAGCGTTCAGCTTTGCACGATGCCTCGGACGCCCCCCCTGGCCAGTCGTCTGTCCTGCGACGCCTATAGGCCCCCGCGACGAGGCAGTCGAGGACCGACCGAACCTGGGAGGCAGCGCCCCAGGGTCGGCCACCGCCTCGGGCGCTCGCCGCCCGCAGCTCGCGGCAGCCAAGAGGCAAGCGAGTCGCGCAGCCCTCCCCGCTCCTGGGGGGGGGCCGCGCCCCTGCTTGGGCGCCGCGCTCGGCGGACTGCGAACCGTCGCGACGCGGCCGAGCGCGCTGCTCAGCGGCCCCGCAGTCGGCCCTCCGCGCGAGTGACAAGCGGGGGCGAGGGCCCGATCTCTCCCCGAAGGCCCCCGACCCCTTGCGGCTGCGACACTGGCGGAAGGTCGTCGGCAGACGCCGGCGTCCCAGCTGCGGGCCCTGCGACGCCTTCTCGCGGCAGGTCGCGGCTCGCCCCGCCGGCTGCGGGGGTTCGGCGTCCAACGACGCCACCCCGCGGCAGGCCGCGGCAGGCCTCCCCAGCCGCCGGGGCGCGGCGCCCTACGACGCCCCCGCGGCGCAGGCCCGCCGAGCCTGCTCCGCCTCAGGCTTCCCGCCCTGGAAGCTCCGCGGGCCCCTGCGACTCGGACTTTGATTCCGAGGGCCCCGCGGAGGTCCGCGCCTTTCTGGCGGATCGGATCTCGGACGAGGCCTTGCACGGAATCGCCCAGGCCGCTCAACGGCCTGTGTCGTCTGAGCAGGACGCGTCCGCGGAGGTCACGTCTCGCGGGCCGCCTCCTCGCTCCTCGGATGTCAGCCTGAGTGGGGGGGGGCCCAGAACGTGGATGGCGCACTTCGAGGCGAAGCTCTCAGCGCTGGGCAGGTTGGCGCCTCAGTGGCCCCGCGCAGCCGCTCGAGAGGCGCCCCGATTGCTGGCGCGGCTGGCATGCGCTCTGCCAGCGATGGCGTCGCGCCGCCGCAGGGGAGAGATCGCGCCGTCGTTGCTCAGCCCAGTGGCGCGACTCCCGACGCCCTCGCGGCGTTGGGCGATGCAGCTGGTGACCCGCGCAGCAGTTCAAAGGGCGTCACGAGCGCCGGGCGGGCTGGCATGCGCCCTTCCAGCGAGGGCGTTACGCCGCCGCAGTGGAGGGCTCGTGCCGTCGCTGCTCGGCCATCCGACGTGCCCCCTGCTAGCCGCGCGGAGCCTCTGCCCAAGCGACGCCGGCGCACCGCTCTTGTGCCGACGTCAAAGGCGCCATCGATTGCTGCTGCTGCTGCGGGCGTCTCAGGTCTGCCCCGCATGCCGATGCCGTCGCCTACTAATCGAGATGACTCGCCAGAGCTGGTCGCCCTTCAGGCTGCCGCAGCTACAGCGCTTGGCTGTCGGCTACAGGTGGCAGGCGAAACCGTGACACGTATGCAATCCTCCGAGGGTCATAGAGGTAGAGAGTTGTTTCAGCACGCTGTTTCCTGGTTGCGTCACTTCGTTCCTGCTGGCGCGGATGAGCCGCAAGAGACCGATGAGCTCGTATGCCTGTTCACTATGCTGCGAAGTTATCCTCGTCTTTTCGGCGGTCAAGGGGTCGCGCCACTGTCGGAGCCTGGCTGGCTGTTGCCCGCGAGTGCCGCGGCGCCCCCTGGGCTGACTGGGCACCCTCAGATCGACGAGAAGGCGGTCGGAGACATCAGTGGCATCGGGCTGGGCAACGCCGTCGTGCATCGCACCCGGCGCGACGTCTCTGTCGGGCATGTCCCAGCGGCAGGATGCGGCCGAGCTGGGGGCAAGGCTGCACGCCCGCGCCCCCCTCCCCTGGGCCTCCGTCGAGACCGCGCTCGTATGTGCGCGCCTTCGGAGGTCGAGGTGATCGCGCGGGGCGTCGTGGACGCGACGGGCGACTTCTTTGCGGTGGCGCGCGCTGACACCGTGGCCCCTTGAGAGTCGACGATGACTAGCTGCCGCCGTACTTCGCGTCGCGCGAGCGGCGGGCTGCCTCGTCGACGGGCCACCCGGCCCCGATCGGAGCAGCGGAGGCCCGGCGCCAGCCCTGCTGCTCTGGTGCGTGCGCAGCGCGCGCGCACGTCGCCGCGGGGGGCTCTTCTGCCCCGGGCCGCCAGCGCCGCGCCGCCCGGCCTCGGGCTTAGCACCGCGCGGCCGCGCGTCTCTCGCACGCCTTTCGTTCGGGGCTCTCCTTTGGCTCCAGAGTGCCGCGATCGCAGATCACGATCGGTTGATGTTTTTTAAGTTGCAACTCGTCAAGCACACGTGACTCCGACCGCGCTCCACCGAAATGGCGTGCTCCTCGCGCGAGCGCTGGCCACCTTCGGAGTCTGGCTGCACGTCGCTGGCTTTCCGCATTACATCCTTGTTCATGCTTTGCTGAGTGTCCAGTCCGCGCGTTCTCACTGGAAGGCGTTTCTCACCGAAGCTTGGGGCGTCGCTAAGCACTGGAAGATTGCTGAGCCTCCGAAGCTTCGCCCACCGTGGCCGCGCGCCCTGCTGCGGGCAATGGTTGGTTTCTGTCTCATCTGGGATTGGCCTGACATGGCCGCCCTGCCGCTGCTTGGTTTCACCATGTTCCTCCGTCCTGGGAAGTCCACGGAAGGCGAGGCGGTGCGACCTGTCCTTGCCGCCCGACCGTCTCGAAGCGAGAGGCGACACCTGTCTGGCCATCGCTGCGCCTAGTACCCGTCGTTCCTCCCCCGCGCAGCATGCGAGGTGTTCGGATCGTCCGTTGGTGGACCTGTTCGAACATGTACTTGGGCATCTCGCTCCCGCCGATCCGCTCGCCCCTTTTAGGGCCAGCGGCTTCCGCGCTCGGTGGAATCACTTGCGGTTGGCACTGGGCATCCCTCTTGCCACATCCGCCGCTGGCTTGAACTTAACTCCTGGCTGTCTTCGCGGCTCAGGCGCCATCGACTTCTACATTGCTACAGTAGACGCCCCGCGCGTCTTCTGGCGAGGCAGGTGGTGCCAAGCGTCAAGTGCTGAACGCCACCTTCAAGCTGCCGCTGCTTCGACTTTCCTGGCGTCTCTTTCTGAGGCCGCCAGGGCTCAGGTGATGTTATTCGCCTCTGGTAGCAGTCGCTTGCTCGCCTCCTACGTACTTGTCTGTTTCTCCTTCGGACTGGTCAATCCAGCTTGCGGCCGCCCGCCAGAATCTTGTCACTTCGCAAGGGCTTTGAGCATGGGTATGGTTGTTCCGCCACTTGGGCGGCCAGGAGACTCTCTCCCGTGCGCGGCGCGGCGGCGCTTTCGCGCACGGCGGCGGGTCTGCCCCGCCGCTGCGCGCGACCGCGTACGCGCACGCGGAGACCGCTCGCCAGGGCGGAGCGAGAGAATGCTCTTCCTCCCCCTCCTCCTCCTCCTCCCTCCTCCTCCTCCTCCTCCTCCTCATCTCCCTCCTCCTCCCCCCTTCTCCCTCCTCCCCCTCCTCCCCCTCCTCCACCTCCTCCTCCTCTTCCTCTTCCTCCTCCTGCTCCTCCTTTTTTTGACGTTGATCGGACACGAGGCGGGGCCTGTTGCGTTCATGCCGGGAAAATCGCCGACTCAGGCGAAGTAGCAACCACATCAAGCTGAGCAATGGCGTACGCAGTGGGCAGACAGAAAAGGTGACAGAGAGAAGCAGCGGAAAGAGGCCCGCAGCGGCACAGAGTATGCGCTCGCCATTCAGCACGAGAGGGAGGAGGTCGACGAAGAGATCGAGATATGCACAGAATCAGAACGAAGGAAGGAGGGAATCCACCGTCAGACGCAGTGTGGTATTCCCCCCTCCGCCCTTCGGATCTAACCTCACCCCGACCCACCCCTCCTCAATGTCAAAAGCACCACACCTGCTGTGCATTCGAGAGGCTGGCCAAGTCTGGGATGGCCGGCCTGTGTCCTGGTCTTCTGGCGCTCATCCTTCTGACACTGCCGATGGCCTGGTGAAACCAACATGCGAATGCGGCGCCAGGGTATATACATACGCATTGTTCATGTCGAATGATTCGAGAGTTCTCTGTTTTTGTTGGGGGCCAAGATCCTTTCATTTCTAAGTGTTATATCCTGGGCCTCTTCCTGGCCACTAGGGGGCCATGAACAATTAGAAACGAACACAAGTAGAAGTGAGCACGATTAGATATGAACGACGTGTACGCATAGAGTTTCGTTTGTCTGTTTCTGGATGGTCGCAGCCTCCAGAAACATGTCTATGGACCGGCTTAAGAAGCAATCGACGCGCCAAATGCGCGCCGGTAGTTGGTGACTTAGTGTGCCCGGAAGGTCCAGATAGAATATAAGGATCAATGATGCATTGCCGTGAGCATGGCACGATATAGTAATAGGATGATGATGATGATGATGATGAGGAGGATGAGGATGAGGATGAGGATGAGGATGAGGATGAGGATGGTGATGGTGATGGTGATGGTGATGGTGATGATGATGATGATGATGGTGGTGATGTTGATGATGATGGTGATGATGGTGATGATGATGATGATGATGCTGATGATGATGATGATGATGATGACGAGGAGGAGTAGGAGGAGAAACTGATGATGCACGTGCATCACGATATTGGAAGCTGCTCTGCGAAGAGACAAGTGCCCTCACCGATGGTCCTGGGTACGGTGCTTTCCTCCTCCTCCTCCTCCTCCTCCGTCTCCGTATGATCCACCACCTCGCCTCAACCCACGCCTCCCAAGGTCAAAATACCACAGCTGGTACGCATGCGAGAGGCTGGCCCAGTCTGTGCCGACTGGCCTGTCTGCTGGCTCTCGTCCTTCTGAAATTGCCGATGGCTTGATGCCACGAAAATGCGAATGCGGTGCCGGGGTGTGTTCCTCCATCCTCCTCATTCTTCCTTTTCCTCTCCACTTTTATTGTAAAACGCATCATCGCAACATCCGTGAGTGCACACACTCGGCTACGGCTCAGAATAGGCAACGAACGGTAAGTGGTGGAGCTCAGTCTCACTGCTTTCTGGATGCTCGCAGCCTCCGGAAACATGTGTGGTGACCGACGTAAAATAGCAATCGGCGCGCCAACTGCGCGCCGCTAGTTTGTGATCAAGTGCGCTTGCGAAGGTCCAGATATAAACGAAGGATCAATGATGTCTGGCCGGGAACATGCAATAATTTAGCAAGATTATGATCATGATGATGTTGATGATGATGGTGATGATGACGACGATGATGATGCTGATGATGCTGATGATGCTGATAATGATGATGCTGATGATGCTGATGATGATGACAACGAGGAGGAGGAGGAGGAGGAGGAGGAGGAGGAGGAGGGGAAACGGATGCTGCACGTGCATCACGAGATTGGAAGCTGTTGTGCGAAGAGACGAGTGCCCTCATCGATGGTCTTGGGTACAGTGCTTTCCTCCTCCTCCTTCTCCTCCTCCGTGTGATCCACCACCTCGCTTCGACCCACGCCTCCCGCAGGCAGGGTACCACCGCTGGTGTGCATGCCAGAGACTGGCCCAGTCTGCGCTGGCTCGCCTGGGTCTGCTGGCGCTCGTCCTGCTGAAATTGCCGATGGCCTGATACCACTAAAAGTAAGTCGGGCCTGTCCCTCTATAGAGGGGGAATATTCCGAAATAGTTAAGGAATAGTATGGGGGCGATTTTTCAACTAGTGTTGAATAGTTCTGTTGACTGTTTTTTATTTTTCGCCCCAAATCGGCCTGTAGGGTGATAGGCCCAACCAAGCACTGAAATGCGAATGCGGTGCCGGGGTACATTCCTCCATCCTCCTCATTCCTCCCCCTCCACTTCTGCTGTAAAACCTATCATCGCAGCATCCGTGAGTGCGCACATTCGGTCGGTCACGGCCAAGAACAGGCAACGAACGGTAGGTGATTGAGCTCAGTTTCACTGCGTTCTGGATGCTCGCAGCCTCTGGAAACATTTCTGGGGACCGACGTGAAAAGCAATCGGCGCGCCAACTGCGCGCCGCTACTTTGTGATCTAGTGCGCCTGCGACGGTCCAGATAGAAATAAAGGATGAGCGATGCGTGGCCGTGGTAATAGTAATACACACCACAACCACGCATATTCGATGACAAGGCAGATGCAAAGATGCCTTTGGTGGTGCGGCGTGCTGAGACGGCAGATTAAATGCAGCAGAAGATGACTCAAGGAGTGCGGGTTGCTCGAGCTTCACCGCATCATACCCGCACGATAATCACCTCCTAGCCTCCATATCCGACCCATCTCATCCCTCCTCCAGTATCGTGGCGCCAACATCGCAGAGCGGATTTCGATCGGAAAACAATCGGATGAGCCCGGAGTGTCCTGGATAATTTCGTTCCGGATTTCGCAGTGAATTTCGTGCGAATTTTTTGGGGCCAGGAATGAAGACTAAACAAAATCCGCGCGAAATTCACTTCGTTTTTCACTCGCCGTTTCGGGGTTTTGCATTGGCAGCAGTCCACACAAAAACCGCTGCAGCACGTCTGGAAGGTCGGTGCAGTGACACCTCATCCCTCCTCCAGTCGCTCGGCCCAGCCGAAACCATGCTGGGCCGATGCCTTCTGGCGGCACCGGCCTCGCGGCAGAGTCCTCCGCCATGCCCGCCACCCGTCATTCCGACCCCGTCCCACCCAGAACACAAGACAGAGGCGCCTCTTATTATGGTGTGTGCTGTCAGGTAGGGCACCAGCATGCACGACGGAACGACGTGACGAAGAATGAGCTGAAGTATCCCCTGAAGCACTCACCGTCCCGCTCCCGCCATGAGGCTGTCACACTGGACCCATGGAGGCCAGAAGAATGGGGCCTGTTTTGCAGACGTGGAGAAACAATAAGGTGCAACATATAGGATGAAGTACCATGCACGAGCGCACGATGATGGCGATACGGTGAACAAGATGGAGACGATGCAATGAAGATGGCAACAACATGAAAGTGTTCGGAGTTGGACGCGCATGTGTTCGGATATATGACAATTCAGAGGGGTACCCCAGCAGGTATTCCCAGGGCCAGGCTGAAGACAGACAATGAGTTCTTGCACCGTCGCCATATTTTGGCTCAAGAAATATATCCCCTCCCATCCATCATCAGAGTTTGGGGGAGGAGGATTGCTTTGCATGGTAGCGCGGAGCATGTTCTGATCCACGGCATTTCTGCTGAGTGACTCCAGGGAGTCACGGGTCAGCTTCCGCCATGGAGCAGCAGGTGCAGCTGCAAGCGCAGCAGATTGCCGAGCTGAGAGATTTACTGCAGAGGCAGTCGCAGGAGCTCCAGAGGATGGCCGCGGCCCAGCCAGCAGCACCAGCGCAAGCAGCAGCACCAGTGCCCTCAGCAGTGCCACGACGCATGGAAGGTATCTTGGACAGCAAGATAGTAGGGAAGGTCAAGCAGTTTGACGGCCAACGTTCTTCATGGAAGACCTTTGAGTTTCACTGGAAGGCCTACTTGGTGGCCAATGATTTTCGTTTCAGAAAATGTTCCAGGCCATCGAAGATGAACCTGATGTGGCAATGCTGGTGAATGACGTAGGCAGTGTGAATAATCCAGATTTCGAGCCTCTCTCCAGCCAGCTGTACTTTATGTTGGTGCTGGCGATGCCAGAGGACAGCACGGGCGAGAGCATCCTCTCCAATACACCAGAGGGAGAAGGCGCCCTGGCATGGAAGAAGCTCTTGAACGAGTACTCTCCCAATGAGCCTGGGAACATAGTGGGACAGTTCAGGAAGATTCTAGGTACGGTGTTCCCCAAGGATGCGGACATTGTCACGGAGATCATGAAGCTGGACAAGGAGATCGCTCGCTACGAGAAAGCGAGTGGCGAGACGGTGTCGGCGAACGTCTCTCGAGGCATCCTCCTGGGGGCTCTCTCAGAGGAACCTGACCTCCAGAAGCACTTGTTCCGCAACCTTCGCAGTTTGCCCACCTACGCCGATATGCGAGCGGAGGTGGTGAATGCCCTGGCAGCCCAGAGGAGCGTGAGCGACGACGCCATGGACACCGGTGCGCTCAAGGGCGGCAAGTCGAAGGGCGGCAAGGCGAAGGGCGGCAAGGACGGCAAGAGCAAGAAGGGCAAAGGCTACGACTCCCAGTCCTCCGAGAAGTGGTGCAGTTACTGTGAGAAGCCGAACCACGTCCGCTCTGAGTGCCGCAAGAAGGCTACTGATGATCGCCGACGGGATGCCGAGGAGGCCGCGACGAAAGCCAAGCATGACAAGAAGGATCGCCAGAAGCAGCGGAGAGCTCAAGCTAAGGCTGGAGCCTTGTCTGCTGGCACAGCGCCGTCACTACCGACTACAGGGACTCTGCCGTCGTCGCCGCCAACGAACCCAGGTGCGACATGTACAGGGCCATCGTGTGCCGCGAGCAGCGCGAGCACTATCCCTGTCGGGCTGCGAGCTTTGACTTCGAGCTCGGAGGCCACGTCCAGCACCCTCGCCCCCAAGTTTGTTTTCGGGCTGGAGGCGATCGAGGCCGAGGAGAGGCATGTGAGCATCGCAGCGGTCAGCCACAAGCCGAAGGACGCGATAATGATCGACAGCGGTGCGCAGATCTCGGCGATGCCCAGCCAGATGGTGCACGATGCAGGCTACACGATCCAGAGGTCGAAGATCCACGAGCTGCATGCGATTGACGGGAGCAAGGTCCCCCACCATGGCCGTGCCGACGTCAAGATTCGACGAGGAGATGCAGTCCTGCAGCTGGGTATGGAGGTAGCCGACATCGAGTGCCCCGTCCTCTCCACAGATGCCATCACGAGGCGAGGCCAGTCAGTCTTGCACTCGCCGATGGGAGACTGGATCGTGGATGCCCCGATGCTGCCGCCCGACGGCGCCGAGGTGATCAAGCTGAAGAAGGAGCGCTCGGCCTGCTACTTGGAGTTCGACGAGCTGCTGAAGGACGGCCAGAACGCCGAGCAGAGCAAGGTCATTGGCTGCTCTCCGACCGCAGGAGTCTGAGGAATCCGTGGGCATCTTGGCTGCAGCCCGCAGGGCGCTGGCACCCTCGACTGTGCCGACAAGTTCGTCTGCGGCTCTGCCTCGAGCGCTCGGACCAGACCCCTCGGAGAACGTCACCCTGAAAGCGAAGGAGCTCACGAGACCAGGACAGCCGACGGCGCAGGAGAGGCGTGCCCATGCAGCACACCACCTGCCCTTCAGGCCCTGGTGCCCCGAGTGTGTGATGGGGCGAGGCCGTGAGCGACCGCGTCCGAAGCAGCAGGACAGCCCTGAGCTCGACGCGGACCAGGTGCCGATTGTGGAGATGGACTTCTTCTTCGCAGCTACTGACGAGATCGCGAAGAAGTACCCGATGCTCCACGGCTTCGCTGTGAAGCTCGTCGAGGCCAAGCGCATCCCCAGGGACGAGAGGCGCGCGATGATCCCTGTGCTGAACATCGTCGACGGGAGGTCGAATGCTATGGGCACACTGATGACGAACAAGACGGTTGGGCAATACAAGACTCTGTACGTGGCAAAGCTGATCGACTCGTGGGGTCACACCACAGTTGTTCTACTGACTGATGGCGAACCCGCTATCGTAGCCATAGCCGAAGATGTCAAGAAGCATCGGAGCCATGGCACCCTCGTTCGTAAAGCCGCCGCGCATTCTCATCAAAGTATGGGGCGCGTGGAAGGCGCCAACTCTCTGGCAGCGGGCCTCTTGAGGACCTTCAGGTTCGCTCTGGAGAAGCGGTTGGAAGTCACGATCGACGCCGACCACCCGATCCTACCCTTCGTGACGAACGCGATCGGCTGGTACATCACACGATTCCAGCCGCGGGAGCACGGAGGGTCCTCCTACAAGTTTCTCTTTGGCAAGGAGTATGATGGAGAAGTCGCCGAGATCGGCGAGCAGGTTTGGTACAGGATCGCTGGGCGGGTAGCCAGCGGTCAGGGCAAGTTCGAGGCCCGCTTTGCTAAAGGCGCGTGGGCAGGCAAGTCGGAGTTCGACGACCAGCACCTAGTCGTGGACTTGCAGCGCGGGCTCCTCAAGGTGCGCGCGGTGCGTCGCATGCCCGAGGAGTTCCGCTGGTCCGAGGACCTGCTGAGGCAGATCAGCGTGACGCCCTGGGACCCCACGCCAGCTCGGGCCAAGGAGATTGCGAGGCCCAAGGGCCTCTACATCACAGAGAGGATGATTGACAGACATGGACCGACTTCAGAATGCCTCAAATGCTCCACAGGACGAGGACAGCACTCCGACGCTTGCAGGCAGAGGTTCGAGCACATCGTCCAGGAGGAGCTCGAGCGGAGGCTCAAGACTGAGGGAGCCTCGCCAGCGACACCAGCGCCGCCAGGAGTGACGCCTGGCACGCCCGTGCCAGAGAGTGCGCATGGTCCAAGTCAGCGCTCGCAGCCTGAGGACCGAGCGCCGCGCACGCCGAGGCCAGGAGCGCAGGTGCAGGAGGGCACGGCAGACCAACCTCCCAGGAGCTCTGTCGGGAACATCCCCGACACGCCGATGGACACCAAGGACGACACGACTCGCAAGCACCAGGTCGAGGCTGCAGAGACCGAGGACCAGGGCGGCAAGCGACAGAGGATCGAGCTTCTTGGTGTCAGGCCTGAGGTGACCGTCATCGCGGGCTTGTCGGTGTGTGAGCTCGCGGTCTGCGAGGCGGACGACTCCGAGGAGTACGACCCCGTCTGGGACCCGATCCCCACGCCAGAGAGCCGATGCGACGGCAGATGCCCATCACATGGAGGACGGTGTGCGCTTCGAGCTGACCACCGTGGGGGCTGCGCCTGTCGGCTCTGCCTGATCCACGCTGCGCGCGCCGTGGAGGCCCCGAGCGCAGTGGTGGCGGGCCTGTACAGCATGTGGGCGGACGGTCTGGACGACGAGGTTGAGAGCCCGCAGATGGTCCACTACGACTACTACTCAGGCGAGCCGCTGGACGAGGAGCTCTACCAGGAGGGCAGGCGCGACGAGCTGGAGGCGATGCGGGAGTACGGTGTCTACTCGGAGATCCCCATCTCTCAGTGCCAGCCAGGGGGGAAGCACGTCAGGGGCTTCCCGATCGCCCACATGAAGGGCGACAGGGTGCGCTGGAGGTTCGTCGCGACCGAGGTGAACGACAAGCATCGCGAGGACAACCACCAGGGCACGCCGCCGCTGATGGTCATCGGGCTGATCATCTCCCTCGCAGCGTCCAAGTCCGACGCTGACGGCGTGCACCGCCGCCTGCTGCGCGTTTGGGATGTCCGCAAGGCGTTCTTCAATGCGGACTTGGGCGAGCTGGTCTACGTGCATCCAGGCTGGGAGCTGTGTCCTAAAGGCCCCTGCTGGGTTCTGCACAAGGCGATGAACGGGACGAGGAAGGCCTCACAGCTCTGGGGCGAGACGAGCAAGGCAGCGATCGACGACGCGGGAGGCAAACCGCTGAAGGGCACAGTTGGCACCTACCACTTCGAGAACCTAGTGGGCGACGGCATGGACGCCACGATGTGCTGCCACGGCGATGACTTCCTGGCGGAGGGCCACCGCGACACCCTCGACGCCATCGGCAACTTCCTGGAGGCGAACTTCGAGGTCACCGAGTCCGAGAGCATAGGCCCAGGTTGCCCAGGTGAGCTGAACTACTTGAAGCGCATAGCTGCCCGAGACCAGGATGCCAGGCTTCTACTGGAGCGCTGATCCGAAGCACGTGGAGGAGCTCATCCGCTGGGGCCACAAGTCGGGCTCCAAGGCTGCGCCTACCCCTGGAACAAAGGCTACGGGGGCAGGCATGAGGAATGCCCTGGACCCACTGCCCGTGGCCGAGGCCAAGTCGACCTCGTCAGCGGCGGGACTGAGCCTGTATGTCTCGAGCGACAGGCCTGACGCTATGTTCAGCTCCAAGACGATTATGCAGCACGTCAGTAAGCCAAACGTCCTGATGAACGCACGCCTGCACCGCCTGTGCAGGTACTACGAGGGCGCACCGAGGCTGCTGTGGTGCTATGAGCTCCAGGACTTGCCAGAAGTTCTCCGAGTGGACGCGGATGCCGACTGGGCGTCTACGGCTAGCCTATTCAGGACGTCGGCTTCTGGAGGAGTTGTTCGTTTCGGAGGCCACACGGTCGAGGCGTTCGCAGTCAGCCAGGCTACGCAGGCGTTGTCGTCGGGGGAGTCTGAGTTCTACGCCATCGGCAGTGGTGCCGCACGGGGCTTGCAGGCGAAGCACTTCCTCGGAGAGGTGGGCGTCACCGTGCGCCTGGTCGTGGCCAGCGACAGTGCTGCAGGCAGAGGGATCTGCCAGCGCCACGGCGTGGGAAAGGTGCGCCACCTCGAGCTGCGGTACCTCTGGCTACAGGATCGCGTCCGACTGCGACAGCTAGAGTTGATCAAAGAGGCGACCACGGAGATGGTCGCGGACATCCTCACGAAGTATGTGGAATCTGAGACCCTGTACAAGCACATGGCGACCATGAACCTGCGGCTCGTGCCGCTCGGAGCAGTGGTGGTGAGCGCGCTGCTACCGACGGCGCGCGGCCAGGAGACGGAGGCGGGCGCCAAAGGCGCGCCCTGGCTACTGATCGTGATGGCTTTGAGCATAGCGCTGCTGTCTTTTCTAGTAGGCTGTTGTGCTGGAGCCCGAGTGTGCTCCACTGCGGTTTGTTACGAGCGTCCAGAGACGCTGATTGATGACAGTGCAGCTCCTGAGCAGACCGCAAGCGACGGAGATGCGAGAGCGCAGCTAGTTCTTTCAAGGCTGACAGTGCCTGACCTACGGGCTACGGCTCGTGCGAACAAGATCGGCCTTGGGGTGGGCTACGTGAGGAAGGAGCGCCTGATTGAGATGATCATCTCGGCTGGCGCGAGCCCTACTGTGGAGCAGGCAGAGCGCCTAGAGAGCGTTCGTGCCGTTCTTTCCAAGGCTGGTCTGAGTTGTTCTGTGCAGCCACGCCTCCTGCTCACGAAGCAGGTGCTGGAGAGTCATTTGGTGCTGTTGGAGACGGCTTGCACGCCGTTGCGGAAGATCTCGGATTGATCACCGAGACTGGAAGTAGCGATGCAGTTGTTCGGCCCTTCACCGCTCCATGCCTGAGGAGAGGTGTTCGGATATATGACAATTCAGAGGGGTACCCCAGCAGGTATTCCCAGGGCCAGGCTGAAGACAGAGAATGAGTTCTTGCACCGTCGCCATATTTTGGCTCAAGAAATATATCCCCTCCCATCCATCATCAGAGTTTGGGGGAGGAGGATTGCTTTGCAGCATGCAAATCGTTTTGGGTCCACAGTAGCAGTCAAACAGTTCTTTATTCGCACATACCTCTGCATGTAGTTGTTTCGCGCCTCCTGTCTGGGCAATTTCGCCCCACATTGAATTCAATTACTTGTCAAGCAGAGGCTCGAACATGTGCCGAAATTGACTGGCCACTGGCATGATTTCTGAATGCAAAACGTGCTTTGATGTACGAGGTAGTTCAAGATTGTCGCACCTGACTGAGATGCTTCGGAGTCCGAGGAGTACCTGCCATTGGGAATCGTCGTTGTTCTTGCCAGGTGTACACCTTAGGCGATGCTTAAGAAAACTATTTTTTCGGCCAGAGTCTCGATTATTCCTAATGTTTCAATGTAAATCCTAAGATTTGAATGGAACTTGTGGGTTTTTATTCAAGTTCTGAGACTATGAATTCCTTAACCCATGATTTCTTAAGCAGTTCGCAGGGTGTACCTTCAATTCCATTCAATTCCCGCTTGTTCTGGAGGCCGATGAGTCCAACGCTGGCGCCTGAAGCCAAATGCCTCGGATGGGAAAGCGCGAGAGTGACACTGGAGTGCGCATGCGTGAGCGAGGGCTCGAATTCCGCCGGGGTGTCAACCGCACCAGTGCTCCAAAGAGCCCAAGAAGCTTCTATGCAGGAGTCCCGAGCCTCGGCCTCGCTGCATCGAAAGCTTTAGAACCTCTTGGCGTTGGAACCTCTCCTTCGCTTCGAGTGATCGGGGGTGGAAGGTATTGTGGCAGAGCCGAATTGTGGCGGAGAATGTGATGGGGGTGGCGAGAACACAAGGCAGTAATTGTCCCTGAACAACTGATTTGTATTAGATTGAAGTTGCGCGTGCATCACGCCATCAGACATGTCTTCACCAGATGTGTATGTCAAGCGTATGTGTGTATCCACGCCAGGTCCTTCCTCCCTCTGTCAATTAAAGCTGTGCGCGGCCCGCTTCGCTTCGACCGGAAGAGGCTCGCTCTCGACCCGCGGATCAAAAAAAGTATCCTCGCCAGGATCTTCTGAATTTCGAATGAGTTCGGCCGCATTCGTATCCAACTCACCTGGCTCAGCGTTTCCGTCGTGCACTGCAGACGCGTATGTGTTGTCGTTGTTACTTCTATGCGAACAACGTGAAAGCAAATAAGAGTCCTCGATGTTAGTCGGAAACTGAATACACTGAAGACGCATGCGTTTCGAATTGCATATCCAAGGCGTCTCCTGGCCTTGGTTTCAGCACTGGTACAAGGGGCCATGAGGTCCCGAAGCTCAGAGAACGGGGCAGGGATACGATAGGGGGATCGCTTCGGTATGCGATCTCGTGTGATCGCGGGCAGCCGTCCTGGCGGGCCGCCGCGTTGCCAATGCCGTGCTCGAATCGCTTGGCAGGCAATGGCCTCCTCCTTTGACGCTCGTCAGACATAGGGCGTGGCCGGTGGCTTCAGTTGATGATGCAACAGAATCGCTGACCTGGGCGGGGCGAAGCACAAATTACGCTTGGCTGGCGCAGCAGGAAACGGGCCAGGCAACGAGAACAGGCTAAGACAGTGGGCCCACACGGGCATGGAGTGTGCGCCAGCCAGGCGGTGTGAGGGGAGGAGCGACCGATCGAGCCAACGTTGGGTAGCCTTGGCGAGGGGAGGCGCCGAACGAGGGAGAGGCGAATACAGGCGCAAGTCTGCAGGCATCCAGCGCAGCCAAGTATAGCTGCAGGCTTTGTGGTGACTGTGGCCTTCAGTTGGCTCTGTGGCAGCAGTCAGGTCGACTGTCCCGCCTGACCCAACCATCCCCAAACCATCCACCTCCCAGGCGCCCCAGCTTGATGCTATCGCCTGTCGAATGCTAGGCTGTGGGTAGCAACACATAGCAGTTAACAGCACAGGCGACGTCAGAGGCAAGCGAAAGGTAAGCCTGCTTAGGCTGGCTCCTGTAGGCTGGCCTGTTAGTAACTGGATCTGGAGTCTAGCTGCGCGAAACAAGAAAGGATCGTCAGAGTTGAAACTGTTATAGTTATCCCCCCGACCACTACCGAGTTTCCACCTAACCACCGCCCAGTCCCTCAAGTAGAAGCGAACATAGCCGAGGCTAGAGGAATCGCAGACAAAAAGAACATTAACAGAGCAGGCGACTGTAGAGATGAGGTGATGCTTAGGCTGGGTCCTGTAGGCTGGCCTGTGGTGCGAGGTATCTCGGCACATATGTATATATATATATATATATATATATATATATACAGGGAGCAGGGTAGAGTGGAGTGTAGGATAAGCTGATGTCGGGAGACCATAGCGGGAGTGCCTGCCCTTCCCGACGTGCCAAAATGGCAACGATCAGCAAACGCAGTAGAGAAAACGGCAATCCTTAGAGGAGAAGAGACTCCATCCACAGTCAGAGAACCTAATGGGGTGCTGAGCGCCTGGCCGAAGCTGAGGACCTCCTCCTCCTCTTCCTCCTTCTCCTCCCCCTCCTCCCTCCCCTCCCCTCATGTCCTCCGGTTCCAGACTCATAGTGGGCCTTTCCTAGTGCCAGATTTGCTTAAGCAGGTGGCGTCGTCATCCGAAGTGTCCTTAGCGACAGAGCTGTGTCAAAGTGTCACTGCAGTTTTTTTAGTGTGTTTGAAGCGAAGGCGATGTTATACAGCTCGTCTTTGTCTGTTTGAGCTGTACATAATTTGAGTGATACTTGTCGTTTGGAGGTTCTGCATGAAGCCACGCTCCCTCTCGCACCTTCCAAAGAAACTGAGACAAGGTCAGTACATCTTTGGTTTGCGCGAGCCTTGCAAGAGCGGTTGCATGTTTAGCTGGATTTCAGTGCTGTGCTCAGCGACTCACTGCACGAGGACCAAGACAAGGCAAGGCATGCAACAACGACGAGGAGGCGTGCGGTACGAGAAAGGCAGGGATTAGGGTGGGTTTTGGGGTAGGGGTGCTTAGACCGTGCTGTTGGCAGATCGCAGCAAGCCCGCACGGATTCATCGCAAGCGCTCCTGCCAGGGTGCATCCCTGCTCCTGCATTTCGCCTGCTAGTGACCAGCGCGCGGTGAGGTGACGGGAAGCAAACTCGCATCCTCTGCACCATAGCGGGCGGCAAAAAACTGAAACACTCGACGCCGTTTCTTTCGCGACGCTGGCCCTCGGAACTCCAGACCCTATGGCCTGGACCGCTGTGTCGTCGCGGATCATTGTTCCATGGTTTGGGGCTCTGGAAGGCATTCGAAATTGTTTGATTGAGAAAGATTCAAACTCGAACGGCGGCCGAAGTTGTTGGATACGCTTCGAATGCCTCCGACTTCGAAGGCATTCGATTCCAAAGGCACTCGAAGCGTTCCAGATACATTGAGACAGCAGAATGCCGTCCAAACGGCCGTTGTGATTTTTGTCGCGGCGCCTGGATGTATGGCGGCGCCTGGATGTATGGGAATTGGTCGTTTGCTCTTGAGAGCTGCACTCACCGACGGCTTGGTCGATGGCGGCCGAACGCGATGATCAAAATGGTTGCCAACTTCAACATATAGGTCGATGGCAGCTGAATGTGACGATGTGGGTGCGGCCTCGTGCTGCACGAACCAGCCGTAAGTCAGAGCAGGAAGATGTACCCACACCGCTACCCTTCCCTAGTCTTCTCCCTTTTGGGCCTCCTGGGAGGCTCTTGTCTTCAACGCTAGATTCGCCTCGAAGTTCTGGCCAACGCACTCCAGGAGAGGTCCGGGGAGCAGCGTCATCGGTTCCCCCCCGTGAGCACCGACCAGGCGCATGGGCCAGCTGCGCGCCACACCCCCGTCCTCCTCCGTTATTACCCGTCCCTCCCTCCGCGGGCCCTGGAAGCGACAGGGCTGTTTTTGTGACTCGTTCCGTCTTGCCGTTTCTGTTGCCGGCGTTGGCGCCCGTCTTTTCTCGGTTCTGTCGCCGTTCTCTTCCCGCTTCCGGCTCCAGCTCCGATCCCAGGGCTGTTCTCTGGCGGTTTCGGGTCGCAGTTTTTTGCCGTCGCCGCTTTTTCAGGAAGCAGTCTTGCGGACATTGGGCGAAAAGACGGCCCTGCCGCTTCCGCGGCCAACTAAGAGTAGGTCGGGCATGTCCCCTTACAGGCGGATTTTACAGGACAACTCGGAAGAGCAAAAACAATGCTCCCAGAATGGTCGAAAAAGAGTCGGAAATCGTCCCCCGGCTATGCTTTACTATTCTTGGATACTCCTCCGGTAGAGGGACCGGCCCGATTTAAGACTAAGACCTTCTCCCCTCCTCGATGCAGCCCTCGCAGGCTTCGCTAGCGAATGCCGCAGTGCGGCTGCCACCCTCTCGCTGCCTGGCGCGGGCGCCTGGACCAGCCGGCGCGCGCGGCCAGCAGCCTGGGGGGCCACGGAAGAGCACGCGTTATAAGACAGCACGGCTCTGGGCTGCACGAGCCAGCCGCACGAGCCAGTTGCTCACCGCCCACCGAACCACCCCGACCCAACCTGGAGGCCCCGATTTGCCTCCCATGTCAATATTTCCCTACAGCTCGATCTTAGAATCGTTTTGTAGAATTCGTAAATCTAGCAATGGCACTTTTAATAACATTTATATCAAGCAACCATGGTAGTCATACATCTTCATGTTTTACAGATTCTACTAAATTACCTGGCGGCATAGAAAAAAAACTCACAGGAAGCCCCGCGCCCCCAAAAAAACCCGAACTTCGGGTCCTCGGGTCGTGTTGGCGTGGTCTCGTAGGCAGTCGGCTGCACGAGCCGACGACTCCCGCCGGCCTCCGTGGTCATCGGCGAGCGGCGGAAGGAAGCGGGCCCCGCTGCGCGGACGAGCATGGCATAACTTACCAAACTGATTCAAACCGGTGCACCCATATTTGTCAAAACTTACTGAAATGAACCACGATCTTATGGACCTGCTGGCAAAAGACGTACTTCACGGAGTGAACTTGGATGAGGAGAAGGAGGAGGAGGAGGAGGAGGAGGAGGAGAAGGAGGAGGACGAGAAGGAGGAGGAGGAGGGAGGAGGAGGAGGAGGAGGAAGATGAGGAAGGAGGAGGAGGTGGAGGAGGAGGAGGAGGAAGACGACGAGGACGAGGAACAACGCGGGGGACCAACGAGTACCTTGAGTACCGTTGAATCCAGCCCAGTCTTCCTCGAGCGACGGAAGGAGCGGGCCCCACTGCGCGGACACTTCGCGCGTGAGCCTCCCGCGCTCGGCCGCGCGCGCGCGCCCTCCTCCTCGAGCGCTGTGCCGCGCCCATGGCGGCCCGCGCAGGCCCCGGCGCGAGGCCGCCACGCCTCCCCTCGCGCGAGCTGCGCTCCTCTGCGCCGCTCGGCTGCCGCCACCGCGCCCGCTGCCCGGCGTGCCGCGGCGCCGCGCGCGCCGGCGTTGGGCGGAGCGCGCCCGAGCCCCCTTCGCTGCGTGCTCGGCGCTCCTCGGCAGCAAGGCCTGGAATCAGGAGGGCAAAAACACACAGAGACACCATGAGTCGTCGATTCCCCAGGACATGTGGGAAGATATGGGAGGTGGGGGGGAAGACAGAAATCCAAAAAATATACGAAATTAGCCTGACGAGGAACCCAACCATATGCAGGTGCGAGTACCGCAATAGTGATTCACTTTTTCGGTGGCGATCCCTATGAGGCAACGAACCGTGGTAGGGGTGTGCCGAAATGAGTGGCGTGGTACACAACGCGAACGAAAACGATTGATCTGACTACGTAGGGAGAGTGAGCGCGGGTCAATATGAGCGCGAGCGCGTCTGACTGTGAATGAATCTTCGTGTGAGCGAGTCTACGTGCATGAATGCGAGTATGACAAAGCATGGTGCGCTTGTATATGAATGTCAATACTTTGACAATGACTGCTTCTGAATACTCGTGACGCTGGGCGTGGCCGCCGCAAGGAGTTTCCCCGGGACTCCCCGACGGCATCACCCGCGCGCCGCGACGCCATTGTCGGCGCGCCCCCCCGCGAGGATCGCGCCCGCTTCCTCCCCTTCTTTTACTCCCTCTTTGCCCGCGCACTGAAAAGTCCAAGGCCGCGGGCGCACCGCATCGCGGAGTCCCCGCGACGCGCGCAGGTCGCCCCGGAGGGGTCCCAGCGACGCGCGCGAGTCGTCCGTTGCGCGGGGCAAAGAGAGCTAGCTGGCTGGCTGATAGCGGGCAAGGCTCTTGCCGCTGGGCGAGGCGACGACAGGCGAGCGAGGCGCTGGGCAGAACGCAGCACGGAGCCCCCGCGACGCGCGCTGGTCGCCCCGGAGGGGTCCCAGCGACGCGCGCGGGTCGTCCGCTGCGCGGAGCAAAGAGAGCTAGCTGGCTGGCTGGGACCTTCGGTGGGGCTCCACATGGAGCCACGAAACGCTGTATTGGGTGGGGGAGACGCATGCGGACTGCGCCACGTGGACCTTCGGTGGAGTTCCTTATGGGGCCACGAAACGTGTGAGAGGTGCGCCGAAATGAGTGGCAGGGACGCATGCGGGCTGTGCCACGGAGACCTTCGGCGGAACTCCTATGGGGCCACGAAGCGTGTGAGGGGTGTGCCGAAGTGGGTGTGCTGGACGCGTGCGGACTGTGCCACGGGGACCTTCGGCGGAGCTCCTATGGGGCCACGAAGCGTGTGAGGGGTGTGCCGAATTGGGCGTGCGGGACGCATGCGGACTGCGCCACGGGGACCTTCGGTGGAGTTCCTATGGGGCCACGAAACGTGTGAAAGGTGGGCCGAAATGGATGGCCGGAACGCATGCGGGCTGTGCCACTGGGACCTTCGGCGGAGCTCCCTATGGGGCCACGAAACGTGTAAGGGGGGTGCCGAAATGAATGGCGGAGACGCATACGGACTATGCCACGGAGACCTTCGGCGGAGCCCCTATGGGGCCACGAAGCGTGTGAGGGGTGTGCCGACATGATTGGCGGGGACGCATGCGGATTGTGCCACTGGGACCTTCGGCGGAGCTCTTATGGGGCCACGAAACGTGTGACGGGGTGTGCCGAAATGAGTGGCGGGGACGCACGCGAACTGTGCCACAGGGACCTTCGGTGGAGCTCCCTATGGGTCCACGAAACATGTGAGGGGGTGTGCCGAAATGAATGGCGGGGACGCATGCGGATTGTGCCACGGAGACCTTCGGCGGAGTTCCTGTGGGGCCACGAAACGTGTGAGGGGTGTGCCGAAATGGGCGTGCGGGGACGCATGCGGACTGTCCCACAGGGGCCTTCGGCGCAGCCCCTATGGGGCCACGAAACGTGTGAGGGGTGTGCCGAAATGGGTGTGCGGGGACGCATGCGGGGGACCTTCGGCAGAGCTCCTATGGGGCCACGAAACGTGTGAGGGGTGTGCCGCAATGGGTGTGCGGGGGCACACCCACTGGGACCACGAAACGTGTGAGGGGTGTACTGAAATGGGTGTGCGGGGCGCATGCGGGCACACCCACTGGGACCTTCGGTGGAGCTCACTATGAGGCCACGAAACGTGGGACGCATGCGGGGGGGTGTGAAACGTGTGAAATGGGTGTGCGGGGCGCATGCGGGCACACCCACTGGGACCTTCGGTGGAGCTCCCTATGGGGCCACGAAACGTGTGAGGGGTGTATTGAAATGGGTGTGCGGGACGCATGCGGGCACACCCACTGGGACCTTCGGTGGAGCTCCCTATGGGGCCACGAAGCGTGTGAGGGGTGTGCCGAAATGGGTGTGCGGGACGCATGCGGGCACACCCACTGGGACCCTCGGTGGAACTCCCTATGGGGCCACGAAGCGTGTGAGAGGTGTGCCGAAATGGGTGTGCGGGACGCATGCGGGCACACCCACTGGAACCTCTGGTGGAGCTCCCTATGGGGCCACGAAACGTGTGCTGGGGTGTGCCGAAATGGGTGTGCGGGGCGCATGCGGGCACACCCATTGGGACCTTCGGCGGAGCTCCCTATGGGGCCACGAAACGTGTGAAAGGTGGGCCGAAATGGCTGTGCGGGACGCATGCGGGCACCCCCGCCGGGACCTTCGGTGGAGTTCCCTATGGGGCCACGAAATGTGTGAGGGGTGTGCCGAAATGAGTGTGCGGGACGCATGCGGGCACACCCATTGGGACTTTCGGTGGAGCT